ATGTAACACCAATTTTTTCCACGATAATATAAGATTGGTTTAATATAAAAAAAAAAAAAACTAACTCTCAATGTCTGCATATCTGAACGAATAATTTTTGAAAAGTTTGAGACTCGAGGGGTTTAAAAATTTTGTAAGTCTAGCACTCTTTATGATATTTTGATTTATTTTGGTAGAGTAGGAAGCATTTAATAGATGTCTGCATGTCTGATCGACTGACTCTTGAAAAGTCCGGGAAATAGGGCTACAAAACTTGGTATGCAGATGCTTATAAGTAATATGTGTCAAATATTTTATTTTAACAGCCACAATAACAACAAAATAATCAGCATAAATAGACTAAAATGCAGTCGACTGTGCTGACATAGAAAATAGATTTCACAACAACAACTACTACAACAAAGCGAGCAATATACAGCCACACCTGGCGTAATGAAACAAACGTGTGCATTGTGGTTTGTTTATTTATTAATAGTTGTTGTTTTTTGGTATTATTACGTAAAGTTGCGACGTTCACTCAACTTCATAACATCAACAACAAAAACTACAGCATTTAATTAATGAGTTGTTGGTTACTCAGAAAAAAAAACAATATAAATATTCAGCGCGTTTTTTGTCTTTTGCTTTTTTGTTTTTATCATTTGGTTGTTTGTTTTGCTGTTTTTTTTACTTTCATTTGCATATATCCATAAACAGGGAATCGTAAAGTCAGCTCTGCATAGTTCAGCTCAGTTAAATATATTCAAAATACGATAAAAGTGCTCGATTTTGTTTACTGCCTGATAAGTTTAACACATTTCTTTGTTGGCGCTACATTTATGTACAAGCCAATGGGGAATATTAATTTCGATAAGAAATGGAAAACTATTACTTATGAATACTGAATAAATGAACTGAACTGATACTAAATCGATGGTTATCATAACTATATACATATGTATTATCTTGTGGAATTTAAATCTCATTTCTAATCTGACCCAATCTGTTTATTCTTCCGTTGCGGAGCTATCAAATTTATTGACGCAGATTTTCGTTAAGAAGCACTTTTGTTCTCAATTAATAAAACTTGCATATACTATATGTATCTGTTCAATATTTCTTACTTTTTATGCGTCACATAGTGAGCCATCTGGAATCCCTTGAATACCGACAATAGAAAAATACAAACTTCTTAAAAATTAGCTTGATCATCTTTCTTTTCCATTCAACTTGAATTATTCCAACATACTTTTATTAAGGAAGCCCTGCACAAACTTGCAGAATCGCTGCTAATTAGTTTAAAGCTACTCCAAATTTATTGGCTGTACGACTAATAAGGCAAGTTACCAGAAACAAAATTGCATGCACACACATGAGTAAGTGAGCTGAAATATAAATTACTAATGAAAATTAAGTCGCCTATTGGACACGCAAGCCTCGCACCCACGCACTTTCCCAACTACTTGCCGTTTATTTCGTTACACTTTTCAATTTTCGTAACGCGCCACTAATTAAGCTATTTTTGAAACAACATTTTCTGAAGCACGCATGCACAGAGAAACACATCTGGGAGTGCCCATTTGTCAGGGCCCGTGTCTGGCACGCCCCGCTCTTCTTTCAGGTCTAATAGTCTGCGTCTCTGGTCATTCTGTCTGCCAACATGTCTCGCCAGAGAAGGAGAGATTCAGAGCATTTAAGATCGCGTGTAACAATCGCCGACGCAGCTGGCAGCTGTGCCCAATTAATGTCACTTTGCGCACTATAACAATTTGTTAATGCCGAAAAATAAACTATACAGTCTAAACTCCGTACAATTAACCACAAACATTAAACATATTGATTACATAACATTTCTAAAAATAAAGAAGTCTATAAGAGCTTTTGGTCTACTTATTATTCTGTTCGAAGGTCTGAACGCCTATTTTAGTATTAAAAGTAAAAGGTGGAACCACCAAACTTTTTACACAGATTTTTCTCATGCCTAAGCATAGGAAGTTTACGTTTCCGTTAAAATTTAGTTTAAAGAAATAACAATTTTAATTATGAACTAGTAAGTGTTGCACGTCTTTGCCTAACTAAATAGTTTTGCTTACTTATTATATTAGGCCTATTTATTAAATTGTTCCCTTCCAATATTTCCATATTAATTGGGTAAACCAAAAAGAAATTTAAATCTGGCTTCGTTGTTTATTGAGGGCTAACTGTACATTCATTATTTAACTGCAAATTCAGCAACCCCAGCATATATAAATGTGTATTCGCCGAATATTTCTTAATTAAGTTTAATAGTAATAAATAGGCTGGAAATATTTCAATAATTATATATACTATCGAAGTCAGAAATAAAACCTGAATCGCTTTAACAATCCGTCTATATTTGACCTTGAACCAATTTAAGATTTTTATATTTATAAACCAACTCAACCCCCTCACTTGTGTTTCATAGATTTTATTACGCCGTCGGCAACAAAGTCGAGGGTATATAAAATGGCTTTATGTTTAGATGTTCCTGATTTTTCCAACCAAATTTCTGACAGGCACCAACAAATGTGAGCAGCGCATGCCGGCGGCATGTTTAATTTTATTTAATTCATCCGATTGATATTTTCAGCGCTTTTGTAGCAATTTGATTCAATCATATTCAAAATTGTATTTTTGATATTTCTGCTTTTCTTTTTAGGCTGCAAACATTTTTGCAAATTGAAATGAAATCATAGCTTTCCAAATATAAACTTATTTAATTATGAAGCAAATGCTGCATTGATGATCTAAAACAAAACACATTTAAATGCTAATATTAGATTTGACTAGAGCCAGAGATAAATGAACACACACATACCCGGAGAAAACCATTTTCATAAATCTCATTAATGACTGTGCATTTGTATTGGTTTATGGAGTGCCTCGGGGGCGCCATTCAAACGACTGTCATTCCCAATGATGACACTTTTTATGAGCCATTGCACTTTACACTTCGGCCATTAAATCAAGCAAAGTATATGGAGAACTTGAACATAAATAGTGGAAAGACTTATCAATTAGAAAACAGAAAACAGAGATTAGACTTGAAAGAATTATGTATTATTTATTGCTACACACTCTATGCAAAATCCCAGAGTATAGTTCCTAAATCAACTTGATAAACGAGCACTTTCCAAATTTGTCATTCAATATTGAGCAGAAATACTTGGACATGTAAGATGGGAAGGAAGGGCAGCGACAACCAGCAGCAGTGAGAATGAGTTTTTTCTAAGAACTGAATCGTAAATATACTAAGTAGTTAGTTGTCACCCCCAAGTTGTAGTAAGTCATCAGCCGTGAATCGTTCGAAGCAGAAGTCAGCAGAGAGATAAAGCCGGTGGTGCATCGGAGCAGCGTGCATATATGTTTTAATTTAGCCTTGCGTGTTCGCCGACTGCATCATTCTTATATTACAATTCAAATACTTTAATTAATGCAACTTGGAATGATTATAATTAATACTACATGATGCATCTCAAAAATAAGAACACAGATTTAATGCAAAACAATCACCATACGACTCAGTGTAACGTGTCCTTCAGAGTGGTGATACAAGATGTTAAGCTCTTGCCGTTTATTGGTAAAAAAAAATGTTCCGAAAGCAAAATAGTTACATGTGGGGAATATGGAGATTGTTTATCGGGCCGAATGCGGCGAATCCGATGAAATAAAATAATTAAATTGAAAACATTAAATTTCATCATGAGTTGCTTTTGTGTAGATGTTATGTTCTCCTTTTTTTCTAATTCTAACAATGTTTTGCACCCATATCATAAGCACAGTGTTACCAAAAATCAACTTCTATCCATTCGATTGCGTACAAATTTGAACCGAATGCCGGTATTAGATATATGTGGTCCACCAGAAAGGGCGGGTCCTGTTTACATCATATCCAAAATCACATACATGTGCATTCCAAAAATTGAATATTAACATCATAATCACATGCATTTATAGATTTTATAGAGTTAAAACTAATAATATAGTACTTACAGTAGTCTACACAATTGTAATTGTTGTTTTTAATAATGGTTACTAAATCGATATATATATAAATATACAAATAAGTAATCTACATGTACTAAATTCTATAGATTACAGATGGTTAATTGTTGAATAACAGTTCTTTGTACCTAAAAGCGTTAACATGAATGAAAAGTATGCATTGTATTTGAAGAGAAGAGGGAATCGATAACAAATTTCTATATTTATTTACAAAGAAAGGCTCAGTTTCGTATTTTGATCGGTAAATTTCAAGTTTATACAAGTATTAACAACCATGCGTAGAAGATTGTTGTTGTGAACTCTTTCTGTGGTCTTTCATTCTGTTAATGAATGGGCATTGATACTAAATGATGGCAGACAACAAAAGTTGTTAATTTATTATACAATATTTGTGTAGAGCTTTGTCTTTCTTATAAATTCTTTTCTTAATTTGTATAAATAGAAATCCCAAAAAAGTAATCACAATTTGTTGTGATGCTGCACATTCGCAAATTTACTTGTATGATGAGATTTATCAGACAGAACGGAACTGGGCATTAAGTAAACAAATTTTTAACACTTTGGCATGTAAACAAATTGAATGATGGGCATTGAAACACGCAATACTCGAAAGTTATAAATAATTATATCTACAGAGATATGTATGGTTTGTTATAACTAAAAATCGCGATTTAAAGCTTGTAAGCCTCTTGAAATGTTTGCTATTATTTAAAACGAATAACAAATTTAACAAATTGCCAATAAATTAACTGAAATAGCTGAAAAGTACTAAACGAGTTTGTCTAAAGAATTTCTGAAAACCTCGCTTATGTCTCATAAACAAATTTATTTTAATTAAATGCAAACGGCAATATAAATTATGAAATTTAACAGTTGTTGGTTGATTTCATGGGCTGCTAGACCATTTGCATTGGCGCCAAACAAAAAATTGCCAATGGAATTTATGGATTTACGTCAAATAATTGAAGGGGGAAAAAATAAAACAGATCGCTTACCTGATCTTGACAGAAGTAGCCAAATCCGATAATGCCAGCTATGGCTAGAAATAGGCAAAACACTATAATTGTTCGTATTTTGGAGCGTGGTTCCATTTTTTTAATTTCATAAACGCCGCTTGGTAGTAATAAGGCAAAATCACTGTCAACTTGTACGGATACGTTCTTATGCATATCCACGGGCATGTTCCATAGCATGTGGCTTAATATTTTTCATTCAAAAACTATGATGTGTTTTAATTGTTTAGCTTTTAACGCGTTTTACTTACAAAAATAGTCGGACAAGTTTTAAAAGGCGGTAATATGGTTAGGATAGTAAGAAAATTGATTGAACAAAAAAATAACATTTAACTTAAAATCGAACCTCAAAGCTCATCATCATCAATGTGGTCAGTTTTTCCACCTCCACGATGCAATGTCATTGCCCGATAAAAACACAAAAATTATAAAAATAAAAAAACGAAAACGAAAGAACCGCACTTCGCCGCCCACCGGCCACTTCACAATCACATCATCGACTCAACACGTACGCGTACATTACGGCGACCAATCTGAACGATCGATTTATATATGCTTCCACACAAAGTTGCCGCAGTAGCTGGCGTCTGAGTTGGCCTCTTCAAAATGCAATTAGTACCGCCACAGGAAGTTGTGCTGTAAAAACAATAACAGAAAAACTTCAGTTTCTGCTTACAATGAATACAAAATAAACAAAGATAAGAGAGTTTTTCCAAACGCATGTTTGACTCAAACAGCGAGCAGTGTGAAAAAAGAGTACATAAATAAATAAATAATTAAAAATGAAAAAAAATATAAATATACCTAATGAGCGCTTTAACAAATTTTGTTGATAAGACCTCTAATTGGGTGCGCTCAGTTGATAAGCATTCAATAATATATTGACACTTTGATTTAAATGGTCAGCATACATATTAACTCTTTAAATGATTTTTCCACCGATCGGTTCAATGGCAGCTAAACAAAATAATGACCCTACCCATATACATATATGGTTTATTATAAAATTGTTCTTAGTATGGATAGGACTATTCCACAAACAAAATTTAGTGTCCCTAGCTGTTACAGCTCAAAAGTACACGGTGATCAGACGGACGGACAAAAAAATAGGGTTTTCGACTTATTGTAGCAATAGAATCAAATTTGCTCAGACAACTTTAAAACATATATACGTTGGTAAAGCTGGAAAACTGAATGAAAGAACATCCATATATATTATGATCAGCAAATATAGAGACATAAAATATGTGGTGAAAATCAAACATCGCAATAACGTTGCAGTATTAATTTATAAAGGAAATTAAAAGCAAACAAACAAAATTTGTTGGCAGTTTCAATTAACTAATGAAGTGTATACAATAATCTAGACATATATTGTGAGTGTAGTTAAACAAACAAAATGCAGAGGTGTCCCAAATGTTGCTTGTAAATTGATATCAAAAGACGAACTACGCGACAGGCCATAGATAATAAAAGTACATAAATCATAAAATTGGTAACAAAAACAAGCATGAAAAAATAAACATTAAACAGTAGCGACAAACTGGCAGCCACAGTCGCCAACATGCAGTCTGTTTGACGCCCAATGTGGATGCCCACAGAAATAATAACAAGAACAACAAGAGCAAGAGTAATGATGACGGCGTGACGTCGTCTCGTTTCTTTGTGGGCTGCTCCAATTTCCGCAATATCAATATAAACCTCTGTCTTTAGTTGTTTAAAGTACGCAGCCATACATTTCCCTTTACTCGTTCATATTTTTGCCTACATGTGCAAAAATAACGTTCGATTACAACAAATAGCTGAATGGACAGCAAAAACTAAAGGCTAAAAATAGCTTCCATTTGCTAATAATAGCTAATCAAATAGCTAACATTAATGAAACTTCAATTTGGGGTATTTGTATTTGGTTATATGGAGTAATGCAATTAATGTGGTAGTTATAAACATAGCACCTTAGTGATAAACTGAAATGACAATATTTCGAAATTAAACTAAAGTATGATGAAGTTATTTGAACAGGCCGTCTGAAATAAAGCCGTTTTATTAATGAAATACCGCTGGTTTGCAGGAACAATAAACAAATTTAGATCCACTACTTTTGTATGTATTATCTTCATGAAAATAAATATTTCACCTAATACTTCCAATATCTGCTACTGATATTTTAGCACTCTGATAAGTAAAAACTGTCAACTTACATACATACACATACACCTAGATACAGGTTTTTGTTACTTCTTTGTTATAAAGTCAGTTAAACTTTCAATAATCGTTTCTAACTTTCGAAATCCGTAACTGACGGGAAAAAAGCTAAAGCGACAACACTGCTGGAGATGCAGCACTGCAGCTCTATTGCTAAAGGCATTCACAAACATATGTTTGACTTTCAGAACAAAAACGCACTTTATTTAATGCATTTCTCGTTGTTAGTTCATTGAATTGCTTAAATAACAACAAACAAGTGTTAATATTATTGTACGTGCAGCGTTTGTCGACGTCGACGTCAACGACAGAAGCGCACAAGGCTAACACTAAAAGCTAAATCGCATTTGCGTACGGCCAGCCACTGACGTAACATAATAAACAAAATGCCCACCATGAAGATATATGTAAAAGAATTAACCATTTAAACATTTTATAAACAAACAAACCAACACACGCACTGCCAACAAAAACAACAACTGTGAATACGCCGCTGCCGCTGGTGCTGCTATGCTGCTGTCGACGCAAAGCAGCGCAGTCGTAAAAAACAGCTGTTCATGTGTCGCACTGGACGAGTTTTAATGAAATTGTTTGGTAAATTTGATGCATAATTCACTTACTCTGAGTTAACTAAGCTGGACTTTATGTTAATAAACAATATGTGATGCACGACACTTTAATTTATTTAAATTTTTGTATATTTTTTAGATTAGCCAGCAATTTTAGCTTGCTTTTTGCTTTGTGCACAACATTCGCCAGTCGCAAAGCGCCGCGCCACTCGTAAGACAACAAAACACAAATAGGAAAGGTAAACTGTGCTTAAAAAGGTTTTCAACACACGACGCAATTGCTAAAATGTATTATAATGCAGTTTGTTTAATTTATTAACGATTTGCGTATATTTAATTTAGAATTTTATTAATAAACACGCCGCAACTTTGCGCCCGTTTTGCGAACGCCGACCCTCACGGTTCGAGAGCAATTTTAACAATGTATTGTATAGAAGGCGCTGAGTTAAATTCCACATGTGTGGACGACGACAGCTGTCGGTATCTCTCTCACACAGCAGAGAGTTAGAATGCCACTGTTAGTTGTTGCTCTGTCACACACAAAATCCACTGAAATGTTGTGAGCGGCTTTGTTTTTATTGCTCTTTCTCTTGTCTTAGCTCATTCGCAACCATTGAACCAGCACGCTCCGGACCTACTGATTCCGTTTGTTGCGCGCGCACTTTTCAGTTCAATTCAAATGCGCACAGCTGTGAGTTTTCAATCAGAAAAGTAGAATTTTGTCATGAGAATTCAATTCATAGTGCTATTCAGCGCCCTAATTACTGTTTTTTGCTACGACCATTATCGACTGCCCCACTCTGTGCAACCTCTACACTATACATTGCGAGTACTCACGCATTTGGAAGATGCACGACGTTTATCCTTTACAGGTGATGTTCAGATCAAGTTGCGTGTGCTGCAGGAAACCACCAATATTACTTTGCACGCCTCCTCAATGCTAAAAATTGCTGATAATCACACGCGTTTGCAACATTGTAGCGGAAGTGGGGATAAAAAGGGGTTTATTGGGATTAAGAACGTGGAACGCTATAAGAAACATGATTACTATATAATTCATCTCGTGAAACCATTGCAGGCAGCATTCTATGTGATAAAGCTGCAGTTTTGGGCCCCACTTAATCGAAATCTTTTTGGCTACTATGTCAGTTCTTATAAAGATATGGAAACGAATGAAACCAGGCAAGTAAGACCTTTGGGGCTTGGTCCTTAAAAGTAACTTGCCTTTCCTTCAATAGTTATATTTCTGTTACCCAATTTGAGCCTGCGGATGCACGCTGTGCCTTTCCTTGTTTCGATGAGCCCCATTTTAAAGCAACATTTGATATAATTTTAGGTCATCCATCGGATTTTAACGCGCTTAGCAATATGCCATTAACAGAGAAGATACCCATGTGAGTAGTAAGCCGTGGGTTTTGTCTAATTTATTGAATTATAAAATATATTAAATATATTTATTTAAAGAGATGGCTAGAATTCTTTTTCGCTTTAAAGTCATTATCTAAGGTCTTTTAAATTCCCTCAACTATAGTAAATCAAATTCAAATTCCTTACAGCTGTGGTCGTCCCAACTGGTATTGGAGCAAATTCCAACAGACAGTACCCATGTCTACCTATCTGGTGGCCTACAGCATTAATAATTTTGAAGGGTATACCGCGTCGAGCAGCAAAATTTCGCATCCAGTACAATTTACCACCTGGGCTCGTTCCCAAGCCCTTGAGCAATGCCATTATGCAGCCGAGATTGCTCCTCGCTTGCTCAGCTACTATGAGGAGATATTTGATATGCCCTATCCACTACCAAAAATGGATCTGTTGGCGGTACCCGACTTCAGTGCCGGCGCCATGGAGAACTGGGGTCTCATTACCTTCCGTGAGGCTGCTTTGTTCTATGCACGTGCAGACTCATCACTGGAGGACAAACAACGCGTAGCCAATATAATTGCCCATGAATTGGCCCATCAATGGTTTGGTAATTTGGTAACAATGGAATGGTGGAACGATCTGTGGTTAAACGAAGGCTTTGCCACTTACGTAGCGACACTGGGCATGCAGAGGCTCTGCAAGAAATGGCATGCTTATGAGGAGGAATCCCTCGATAATGTTCTGGCTATTTTTGCAACTGACGCCTTCTATTGCACGCGTCCCATATCGCAGGCTGTGGGCAGTGCCAGCACTATTGGTAATTTGTTCGATCCCATCACATATCGGAAAGGCTCTGTCATTATACGTATGATGCATAATTTTATTGGAGATGAGGCTTTTCGCAGGGGTCTCAAGACCTATTTGCAACATCATGCTTATGGCAATGCAAATCAGAGGGATTTATGGCAAGCGCTCACTCAGGCGGCGCATCAATGCCACAGAATCCCAGCCAAGCTCTCGGTTGGCACCATCATGGACACCTGGACCTTGCAGTCTGGCTATCCGCTTGTCACTGTGGAAAGGGATTATATCCATAATGCAGCGAACGTCAGCCAAAGACGTTTCGTGATTCATGGACCTGCGAGACTGCATGAACCATTTTCTGAGCCCTTCGAAAGGAAAGCTGGCGATTGTTGGTTTATACCACTTAGTTATACAATCCAAAGTATTGCCAACTTTTCAGATACAACTCCAAAGGCCTGGCTGCGTTGTAACAATGCTGGCCGGGCTGTACCCCTTCGCCTTTACAAGCTCCCCGAGGAGGATGAATGGCTGCTCTTCAATCTACAGCTCACGACTCCGTATCGTGTTAATTATGATGCCTGCAATTGGGATCTCATTACAAAATCATTATATAGCAAAGAATTTAGACGCATACATGTCATGAATCGTGCACAGCTAATAGATGATGCTTTAGCGCTCGCCTGGAGCGGTCATATGGACTATAAACAGGCTCTGGAACTGTTGAGATATTTGCAACATGAAAACGAGTTTATGCCCTGGCGTGCTGCCTTGGATCAATTGATAGCCATTTATCGCATTATGCGACAAACTTCTGATTTCGATGTCTTCCAGGTGGGTGACTGACTGCAAAGGCAGGTAAGTCTATAACTTAGTCAGGCCTAAATGAATGAAAAATGTTTATATTTTGGTAGAAATTTATGCAACACCTGCTGGAGCCCATCTATTGCCACTTGAAGGGCATAAATGATGACGAGAGCGTAAAGCATGTTCCGCACAAAACCCTCATTGCCCAATGGGCTTGTCGGATGGCTCAGGAAAATTGCCTCCAGGTCGCCATGGATTACTATCAACGTTGGTACACATCTGACTCACCGGACAAATCGAATCCAACACCAAAAAATCTACGATCCGTCATCTATTGCACGGCCATGCATCAAGGCGATGCCGACGACTGGAACTTTCTGTGGCAGCGCTATCTGAGCGCTACAGTGGCCAGCGAGAGGCGTCTTATCCTTCAAAGCCTGGGTTGCACTCGCCAGCTATGGTTGCTTCAGCGCTACATGAAGTTGATATTCGAGCCACCGTCCCTCATACGCAAACACGATGCAGTCCTGGCCTTTGGAGGCGTGGTACGTAGCGATGTCGGCAGCCAATTCGCTAGAGACTATCTGTTTAGCAACTTTGCAATGTTGCGCAAATTGTAAGCAATACTTCGAATTTATGTATGCCTGCATGGTTATTCCTTTTCAATTTCATATAGCTTTGAGCCGAATATTCGGGAGCTCGCTGGACTGGTTATACAGATCGCTCAGCACATGAGTACAAGTCGGGACTATCAGGTACTCCAGGACTTTTTCAATAAGCACCGGGATCTGTTCAATCGCGTTCCGCGTAGCGCGCAACGTGCCAAGGAGCAGGTGCAGCTGAATTTACGTTGGAGACAGCAACTAATGCCCGAGTTTTTGCGTTATCTCCACACCAGATGCTACGAATGAAGATTGGAAACAGGCAATTCTTAAGAATATTAGCTGTTCTTTTCAAACTCCTAAATAAATGTGAAAACCCAGTTTCCTTGTAATCACCAAATACAAGTATGTCTGTCTGTATGAACCTCTACAACTGTGTAGGCATAAGACCTAGAGACACCACACTTGGCATATTTTATAATAATCTCTCACTATTTGCTCCAGCAAAGGAAAAATAACACCAAGTTGAACATTTTTAAATTATATTTATAATTTTAGTTTTACAATTTATTTGCTGGGTTTATTCAAAATTAGTAAAACATATCCGAGCCCTACAAGGAGATTAATCACAGAACACTAGACAAGTTCGTACTCTACTGAGAGCCCGTACCACTGGTGCCACCACCACCTGACGAAGCGGTACTCGCACCACCCACACTCGCTGCAAACAGTTGTCGCAGATTTTGTAGGAAGCCCCAAAGTACTGTACCCGTAGTGCCCAATGTTTCGAGCAGATCAAAGCCTGTGCTCTCTATTGCCGTCTCGCGATCCTCTTCCGTTTCAATGGCCGACGACTCGTTGCCATTACTATGATGTGGTGCATGATGGACACCACTGTGCCCCAAAAGACGATGATGATTGTTCCGGACATGCGTGTCATTGACGGCACCACCGCCGACCGCATTCACCAGATGCCTAACCGGTTCCAGAACGGGAATGTTCAGCTTCACCCGATTCAGAGTGTCGGGTGCCTTCGTGGAGCCCTCACTGGCCATCTCCAGCGTGAGCTCATCGTTCAGCGTATTTTTGGAACTGATCGGCGCATCGTCCAAGCTCAGATCCATATCCAAATTATTGTCCAGTGCATCGTTGGTTTGAGGTGCTGTCAAGGACAACAAACTGCTGAAGAGCTGCTGTACGTGCACAGAATTTGTGGCCTCCGCCTCGCTCTGCTCAAAATCGAACTCCTTGTGGACCGGAATCGTATTCGTCTGATTGACAAAGCTCACGATATGTTGATTGGCGGGCGCGGCGCTGGCTGGTCTCGCCGTTGCTGTAATTGCCAGCAACAACAACCACACGATCTGTTCAATGATAGAGTTTTTTGTTCATTCATTGCTTATTAATTTTTAAAAAATATGACAAAGAGAACATGTGCGTATCTAGGTATGTGCATGATTTATAATGAGGCATTCTATATGCAATGCTGGTGATCGGTTCGTGTGTACAGCTTTAATGAAATTGCAGCTAATGCCATGAAAGTCGGGAATACTATTACACCATACATAGAATCAGCATATATACAAATATGTATGTATAGTGTCTGTTTGTCAAGGTCTATGCCAAGCAAAAGTGAATGTTGATTGTGTTTTGAAAACCAATTCAATTTAAAACTCCATTTTATTAGAGACAACACTATTTCGTATAATATTTAAACAGAAATTTCCTTTTTTAGGCTGCCAAGTGGTTCAGAGAGGAATATATGCACTCCTATAAAAAAGGTAGAAATAGAAACCATGTACATATTCTTAATATATAAATCAAGCTATTTGAAAACTATTTCATTTCATCATTTAGCAATGGGTTCCAAGAGGCATTATTCCTACAAGTATATCGAACTATGCTTCTACAAGTAGTTGTAGTAAGGAATATCTATCAGAAGAGTATGAAGTTAATCCTAAACAAAGACTTTAAAGAAGTAAGAGCACTAATTATTTGATTTTAATATTTTTTATTCATTGTATAACTCATTATATAACATGAGATACCTTGAACTACAACGCAAACGCACTTACATGTGAAAGCACCAGAAAACATATTGAACTATATGTGGAACTGGACAAACGCGACATTGTCAATGATATATGTAAATTAATGTCTTTATATATATATGAAAATTGATGTCACTGGTTTGTTAATACTTAGTGTTAGCTTTAATTCAAAACCGTTGCCAACAAACGCAAAAATCGAACTAAGTCAAGTGCTCGACGGCCGCACAAAGACTGACTTAAAATCGATCTGAACGCCAAAAGCTGAAGGCAGCTCGAGCAATATTCGATTAATTAATATGCTGGAAATGTACAAACAATTTTTGTAGGTAAAATAAGTTATTTGTTTATTCAAAAGACTTGCAGAACTCTACAAAGCTCGATTAGAGCTTCCCTCCAACTCTCCCCCTTTATATCTCCTTGCACATAAAAAAAAGACTACAATACCTACAAGAATTTAAAATCACAGTAGCCTTCAAGGAAAACTAACAGAAGAATCTAATAAAAGTTAGCTATTGGCAGTAGCACCTACATATTCTGACAAAATATATATACCATAAATTCCATAATCCCTAATATTAGTTATGTAGTATGCTTTTTAATGAAAGTCGCCTTTGAAATCTGTCAAGCTATTCAGTCTCTGTGTACACAGCCTAGCAGTAAGCACATTTCGTAAAAACAATACATTTTTTCGATAAAATTTCAAAATTTTAGTTCAATTATCATAGATGCAGTTTTTTGGCCCCTTTTGACAAAAACTAAAAACCATACCACTAAAAAATCATCGGTTGCAATAGAAGTCTGCTCGAGTCCGAAAAATATGCGATTATTTTGCAAAATTTCGCGTATTCTACATGTGAGTGTTTGGGGCTACTACTATATTATGGATTGTTTAATTGGTTGAACAATAACTGGGAAAGGTGATGAAAATTGAGTTGGGAGTATGCCTCTTAAGCCAAGTAACGTTGAGTTAGGAATACATTAGAGAATAGCAAATCTCTCATGATCTGGACTACTTCGCCATAAGCCAATTGGTAGCTTTTTGTATTATATACTATCTTTAATTTCATGAAAGTTGGATACCCATTACCTATGTAGTCTTAGGATAGTCAGCTAAATATAATGATAATTTAGAAAAAATTCTTCCTTTTATACCCTGTACCCGCAGGGTAAAAAGGGTATATTAGGTTTGTGCAAAGTATGTAACATGCAGAAGGAAGCATCTCCGACCCCATAAAGTATATATATTCTGAATCAGCATGACGAGAGAAATCGATCCGTCCGTCCGTCTGTCCGTCCGTCTGTACGTCCGTCTGTCCGTCTGGATGAACGCAAGGATCTCAGAAACTGTAAAAGCTAGAATAACTAAAGTTGGCATCCAGATTCTCCTTGGTCCGAGAAAGGACGAGTTTATTTTATTTTTTGAATTTTCCCCCCGTTCCCCCGCTACAGAATTTCGTCAATAGCGTCCACATTTCAAATGCTACCTAAACCAACTTTGCACACATCTTATATATATAATTATCTACTGTTTAAAATTTTATTCAATTGGGTCTATTCTGAGAAAAGTTATTAGCGAAACAAATTCTCGCCAGTACTACCCCACCAAACTGCAGGAACAAGTTCGCTCTTCTTCTTCCTCTTTTTGCTGCTGCTATGGGCTCATATAACTCAGTGACGGAAGTTTACCTGGGTACAGGGTATTACACTGTCGGGCTTGCTCGACTGTAGCGTTCTCTCTTGTTAAAGGATGATTCTAGGAAATACAATATGTATTATTATATTATTATAGGTAACTATAAAACGTTTTCAAAAATTAAAAAAAAAAATGATCTGCGTTAAGCCCAACCTTTTCCTATCCGTGAATGGATTGCAAAGCTTTTCCTCACTCCAAGCTAAAAAGTGTTTTTTGTATAAAATAGCTACAATACAGTATTAGGGTGATAAAAAAATGACAAAATTCAATGTCAAGTGTTAAACACATAGTCAGCTCCGACAATGATGAAAACGTCGCCTAATCTCTTAAGCTCTAAAAGTATAGCTAGTGGGTGTGTTAAGTAGAAATTTCAGTTCTCTCAAGAACAAAAAAAAGGAAAACAAGTAGCCCCACTAATATGCTTAGATTCATTAAAAAACCAAAGGCAGGCCTAGTAGGCCACACAATTAAGGTCACATATTATTTGGATTTAAAATACGAAAACAATTCATTCGTCTTGTACACATCATAGGGCACAGACGAAAAGTGCTCTAAATTTTTTTTTTTTTATTATTCCTTTTTTTGGAAAGTGAACAAAAATTTTTGTGTTTTAACTCTCATATGTAAACATTCAAGTTATTTGGTTTCTCAAAAATTCCTACAGTAGTGTATCAAAATTATTTGTGAATAGTGAAAAACAAACCATCCAACTATGCGAGGGATTCTGGGCTGGGTCCACGAATCCTACGGTCGTACTAATCGCATGGCGCCGTATCTTACACAGATATCGCGGTGCCTAAGCTATCATGCGCCATTATGTAGGGCCCCACTGCTTCGGGATGTCCGGAGCAGCAGTAGTAGTAGCAGCAGTGGAAGGCAGCTGAAGAGGAGTATCGGGACCAGCGTCATGTATCGACCGGGCCTGTTGCAGTCGCAGATGCTGCAGACGCCATCCACCCTACTGACCCCTCTGCCGATTGTTCTGCGAGTCCAGCTCTATTCACAGAAGCCCACGAACGTCTTTACCTTCAATGCCCGGATGAATATGCTGCGCAAGAGGATTAGTTTCTCGGGCACACCCGCTGGCTCCGGTGAGTGCGAAGCGGACAAGCAGCGAATAGTGCCTTGTGGCATCATAACCCCCGAGTGCAAGGATGATAAGCATCTGAAAATTGTCATCGTGCCGCTGGATCTTGCTGGCATGGATAGCGAATCATTGAAGACTACGCTGGAATCGATCAATATGTTGCGCAAATACGCGAACGAGATCGATACGTTTGCGACCAGCATGATCGATGATTACCATGCCATGAATACAGAAACAGCTGAGGCACAGCAAGATGTTACTGCCGCTAGCCCCGCACCTGAACCTGCACTACCACCCACCGACGAACTGAATTTCTGGGAAACCTACACAGCAGCACCGCTGAATGCGGAAGTGGATGCTGTGGCCCAGGCAAGTGCCTCTGATATTGCATCCCAGAAGCTGCCGCAGGAGCATCAACAGCAAGCAGCAACGACAGGCCTGAGCTCAGCATCTACGGAGCCCAGTGGTAATTTATGCAATGTGGAATGGTCCCAGCCACCCAACAGCCCCTCCACCCCCAATATACCGCAAATGCCAAACACCAGCCCAAGCGTTACACCAACAACTGTGCCGACACAACCTGCTGGTTTGCCGCTCGAGGAGCCAAAGGTGGCACCACAAATCAATGCCGCAGCAGAACAAGAATCTGAGGAAAAGAAGCACCACGAGGTGAATATCAATGTGCCCGCGAATTTGGAGGCACGTCTGAACGAAATGGCCATTTCCTCCATGAAATTGTCGTTTGAGATGGACATGACCAACATACGGGATGCTTTGATGAAACGCGAATTCGAGTACGAAGAGAAGCAAGCGGAAGAAAGCCAAGACTCTACCTTCTCTATGCAGACCAAAGTCGAGCTGGATGGCGGTTATAAGCCGGAAAATACGTTGCCACTCTTGTTCAATGCGCTGATCACGGGCCAGGTGGACATCGATGCCGAGAAACTTCACCTGGATCAGATGTCAGATTCGCAGGTGCCTGAGTTCCATGACAACGTGACTTCTCTGGCCGCCAACATTTGTAGCACGGCACTGCAAAAAGGTTTTCCCGCTGATCTGAACCGTCAAATGTTATTAGGTCGTGCGATCTCTTCCACCGAGAGCAGTGATGAAGACAGGTGTGCCAAGGAGCAGTCTGACGAGAAGAAGGGCGATGAGGATCGCAGCAAATACATCAAGTGCGTTGGTACAGAAAAGAAAGGTTGTGTGTCACCAGGTAATGCCCATTTGCCCAAATACGAACCATCTGAAGAACATACAAAGTGTGATTCCTCCTCAAATGTGGGCAATGCCATGCGTGTGTCTGCTCAGTCGAGAATGGCTCTGAAGCGTAGCCAGGCGATGAAGCACATGAAAAACGAGCAAGCCAGGCCGAAGAAGATAGACGAGGCCACCATGCTTAGTGATAATTCCACCATGAAATATGATCCGAAGAGTCGAACGATGGCCACCGCCGCCGTACCTCAGATCTATGAGACCGAGTTTGAAGGACCGCAATTGCGAGACGGTTGCAAACATCCCGTAATTAAGCCCAAGAAGAAGTGCCCGGGAAAATGTCCCCTGCTAGATGATCCGTGCAAAGAGGACCCTTGCAAGCGACCAGATGAACAGAAGCCGAAGGACAAGCCACGCAAACGCAAGGCAGAAAAAACAGTTGAGATAACATGTAGTGACAAAAAGAGTGATTGTGGCAAGGACAAAAAGAAGGATCCATGTGCCAAAAAGGACGACAAGAAAAAGAAGGATCCCTGTGACAAATTTAAGAAGAAAGACGATAAGAAAAAGAAGGATCCATGTGCTAAAAAGGACGACAAGAAAAAGAAGGATCCCTGTGACAAATTTAAGAAGAAAGACGATAAGAAAAAGAAGGATCCATGTGCCAAGAAAGACGACAAGAAAAAGAAAGATCCTTGTGACAAATTTAAGAAGAAGAAGGAGGACCCTTGTGCAAAGAAGAAGGAAGATCCTTGCGCAAAGAAAAAAGATGATAAGAAAAAAGACCCCTGTGCCAAGAAAGACGATAAGAAAAAGGATCCTTGTGCCAAGAAAGATGATAAGAAAAAGAAGGATCCTTGTGACAAATTTAAGAAGAAGAAGGAGGACCCTTGTGCAAAGAAGAAGGAAGATCCTTGCGCAAAGAAGAAAGAGGATCCTTGCGCCAAGAAAAAAGATGATAAGAAAAAGAAGGACCCCTGTGCAAAATTCAAGAAGGACAAGAAAAAAGATGATAAATGTGGTGACAAAAAGAAGAAGGACCCCTGTGCCAAATTCAAGAAGGACAAGAAAAAGGATGATAAATGTGGCGACAAAAAGAAGAAGGATCCCTGTGCTAAATTCAAGAAGGACAAGAAAAAGGATGATAAATGTGGTGACAAAAAGAAGAAGGATCCCTGTGCCAAATTCAAGAAGGACAAGAAAAAGGATGATAAATGTGGAGACAAAAAGAAGAAGGATCCCTGTGCCAAATTCAAGAAGGACAAGAAAAAGGATGATAAATGTGGAGACAAAAAGAAGAAGGATCCCTGTGCCAAATTCAATAAGGACAAGAAGGAGGACCCCTGCAAAAAGAAATACTCAACCTACGCTAGTCATACCTTCAAAGCTGGAGTTAATAATTTAAAGCACCTGCGGGGCCCACGCTTCCCGGTTTACTCAACGCGTCTGCGTCGCCACTACGTGGACATGGTCAGCAAGACCCCGCGTCGCCTGAGCTGCCACCTGGCAGATCTGCGGAAAATGGTGAAAATGCAAAGACCTCGATTTGTGGTTTACTCGACGCGAGTCCGCCGCCAATACTCTAGCGAAAAGGAGAAGGACGAACTCGATCCCACTGGTAAGTGCCGTGCCCTAGAACAGAAGCGCCCCCTGAGACGTGGCAAGGACAAGAAGGCGAGATCAGAGCTGCGCACAGACTGTTTCGAGGACGACGAGTGTCCAAAGAGCTTCTGCAGTGGTGCCTGTGGACCAGTACCAAAGCGACGCAAGAAGTGCGAGCCCGTTAAGAAAACCAAGAACAAGAAGCGACATGCCAAGAAGAAGGCAAAGAAGACCCAATGGGACAAGAAGAAGGAACAAATTTGCGGCAAACCCAAAAAGAAGTCGAAAAAGAACGACCAAGGCAGAGGGGGTGCGTGGATGGGAAACATAGCCACTAAGGAACAAGAATCAACTAACACCGTTTCTTTTTCTATTCTAAGGTAGAAAGAAATAAGCTGCTAGGCGTGGATCCATCAGCAGTCTGCCAGATCCAGATACGGAGCTACAGCGATTCCTGCCAGGAACACAATCGCTGTATGTCGAAGGCATGCGCCTGCACAGAAGTGGAAAAAAAGGACGTTTCCGAATGCACTCAGCTGAAAGAGGCAACTGAAGTTCTACGAATACCGGAATGCTATAAAATATGCAAGGTTCAAGTGCCTAGGCCGTGCCCTAAGGATTTCGGTAGGTGTTCTCTATTCGTAACGCCTCCAGTGCGACAACTTGTCTCTCACTTTATTCGCAGATGTGCTTATACGCACCGGGTCTATTGCTATTTCCGGCTCTGACATACATGTCTATGAGAATGGCAACAAGGACGTCGATGGAATGTCTTTGGGCCACGATGCCACCGGATTCATTGAGGATGTGGGCAGATGTGTCCACCACTTGCGTCGTGGTGATCGCGTTGTAATGGAATCGGCACTCTCTTGTGGCATTTGTGAGTTCTGCAAACAGGGTCTATACAATATGTGCGGGGGCCTGATCTACAATGGGTTTATGGCCACGCATCAGGCCCATCCGGCGGATCTGTGCCATCGTCTGCCCGACCAAATTAGCATGGAGGAGGGAGCACTCACGCAAACACTGGCCATGGGCTGCCAAGCTTGTTTCAAGGCCAACATAACGCCCCTCAGCAATGTGCTAATCATTGGCTCCTGTCCCACAGCGGTGGCGGCAGCGATGTGCTCTCAGGCCATTGGAGCGAAACGTGTGGCCATTGCTGGAACTGTGTGTTCCATGCTAGACACTGTGAAGCAGGATTTTGGGTTTGAGAGTGTGCATTTCGATTCGAACGCGCTCTTTGGTGAAGTATTGGAAGCCATCTACAGCAAGTTCAAGGATTGGCCAAACTGTGTCATCAATTGTGCGATATCCGCAATGACCATGAACCTGGCCGTTATGGCACTACAGCCTTGTGGAGTTTGTGTCCTCGCCGAATGCGAATCTGAGTGCGCAAGCTTTAATGCACTGGACATACTAATGAAGAACATACGACTCATACCAAGCTTTCGCTCAACCAACATGTAAATCCAATTCCAGATTCTTCCTTATTCAAAATCCTTATAATATATCTTTTAGGTTCCCCACTGCCCTACAACTCATGAAGTCGGGTCGTGCCCCTATGCACAAATTCATTGCCAATACCTTTAAGTGGATTGCGGCGGAGGAGGCATTCAGATGTGCCCAGCACGAGTCGAATGTGGGACTACGAAAGATTATTATAAACAGTGCGGATGAGGGCGATATTGCGAAGTTGTACAAAACAATGGGAAAATGCTAAATCCCCAAAGGATTCGTTTTTTCTGTTGAGTTGGATGGAAGTAGCCAAATATGCTGTGTACAAGACAAATAAACGTTGATAAATATTTTTATAAAAAAATTGACACTTTGTTTAAATTATTACGATTTGAGCCGCACCTTGTAGATTAGGGATATTTTCTTTAAAAATTGTAAGATGTACATGTAATTCGAGCAAAAACATTGAGGAAAACTAAAATGAATAAATCATTTTTGAGAAACCTGGAGTACTTGCTAGAAAGGAAATAAGCTTTGCTTTAACTTTTAATCTCGTTTTGTTTACTACTGATAGAAAAACTCTAATAGAAGTTAAATTCCTTCATGTATATTATACAAGTATGCTTCATAGATGGACTATTCAAATATTTAAAACATCTTAAGAATACTTCATTTTTCTTGAAGAATGTACATAAGTTTTGAATTTTACGTCTCATTGCAATCATATAATCTCATTGGATATATGAATTAAACATGATGGGTCGTAAGTCACACCAAACAATCTTTGGTCAGTCCAGTTTTGTAGTCCTCTCCGATTTCCCTACTGTCCCATTCCATGTTGTTGAATAAATAAAAACATTAAGTTTAAAAGTGCTTTTTTTTTTGTTTGTTTCATAGTTATGCAAGTTAAAAATACAATATCTCAATATTTAACACGTTCTCAGCATCTCTAATTCTCTCATTATAGACTATTTAACGGCCTGGCTCATAAGTATGTATGTATTTTATGCATATATATAAAAATTATTGTACTTCGCTGCTTACAACAAACTATTTTACAATTTACATACGCAAATTAATTAGAGAGCTCACAGAATGTATGCTAAGGTAGGTAATTATTTAATGTACATGAAAACATAAATTAATTATACTCATAATAATAATAATAATAATAACAATCATAATGCATACAGTTTCATTTTTTACACATGACTACAAGTTTATCGCACATTTTGGAACATTGCTTTAAATAATAATGTTGCAGTGAGTCTAGTTTATAGATATGTGTGTACGTGTGTGTGTGTGTGTATGTATATGTGACTAACAATGATATTTATTGGGTTTGGTAATCATAATTATGTGTAGTTGCTCCCTGGTTGGATTTTCTATGATCGCTACCACAAAAAATTCTATAGAATTTGGCTAGTTCAAAGCGCTTTTATTTGTAATGCCTATAAAGTTTTAGGTAGTACCTGCTAATAAGTAGTAGTAGAATCGTCAGTGTCAAGGCTTGACGCAAGGGCCAAGCTTTCGTTTTACGAAGGTAGTTTGTCTTTTTGGTGTTCTGTTTGTTTTTAGCTTTAAACAAACCTAAAGAGAACAAAAATTTAAACAACGAACGGAAAATCCATTCACTAATTATCATGTATTTGCATTTCCAGTTCAACATCCGAGAGATTGATTTCGCGCAGCGAGTTTATAAACATGTAGCGCGATGTATAAATGTAAAGCCAACGAAACCATTTCATTTGTGATTTATGCTCCAGCATGGCGCGCCTGACAATGGCCGCCTCTTTCCAGCTTAAGATGCACCTGTGGGACGGAATTAGAAATATAATTAGTTGGAAAGGTCTACAGACACTCGATATTGTAAATTCAAATATTTTGTGAAAACAGCATGGACAATATCGAGTGTTTGCTGTTTACACACACAAATAGTAAAATAAAAACATTACTATACATACCAATGCGTGGACATAAAGCAGGTGCACAGCAAATCGAAAACGGACAAATATTTGCGCACAATATTGATTGTGTCTAGCGTATAAAACTTGCAGGCTGCATTAAAATGGCATAAAAAAGATAAAACACACAAAAAATTACAGATCTGATTTAAATTTAGATTATAATAGCAACAACAAACTGCAATTAACATGCCAATTATCATGTGTGTGATCGTGATTGCTGTTTTGTAGCTGCTGCTGCAGCTATTATTATTGTTGCTGTTGTTGATTATATTGTTGTTGGCTAGCAACCCGTGACTCACCTTTAGGCAATAAATTGGCCAAGCACAATGATGCTGCTGCATAATAAACGGCACAATGATTTGGATGCGAGCTGACGCCGTCACGATCGAAGGTGAAAATTGCTTGTATATCGAGACTCTCGACCGTATGTAATATCAAATTAGCTACGGCATCCGGTCGCCATTCAACATTGGGATCATCGGGAAGGTTTGTGGCATTCATCAACACAATATTGGACTCGGGAATGCCCAGATGTTTGCAGGCGCGCCAAAGTTCCTCCCGACGCAGTTGCGCCTGCTGCTCAAAGTTTCCTAAAAAGAGAGCCGACACTGTTTTAGATCAGACACATAGTATGCACATACATATGTGTGTATGCTAAACGTGACGTGGAAGTGTTAAACGCACCATTCGAGAGGCAAAGCACATACACCTGGCAGCCATCGCGTTGCGTTAACGAGTATATTAGCGGGCCAAAAAACATGCATTCATCATCGGGATGCGCTGTAACAAGGAGCACGCGCCCCATTTTCGCTGCATGAGGCAGATGTACGCTACGTAAGCGTAGACCCGATTGTAGAAAGTTTCGCAGACTGTTGGCCCCCGCGTCACCTTCTCCTCCTCCACGATGTTGGCGGTTGTTCTGTTCGTTGGTGTTGGTATTGCCGGTGCCTGCGCCTGGCGTCAGCCAAAAGGTCAACTTGTATAGGCCCAGGCATACTAGTAAGTATACCGCACATACAATCAAAATATGCTCCAGCGCTTCGGCTGACGTTGACTTAATGCGGCAGTATATGGCTTGAGGGCTCAATTGTTGTTGAAGTTGTAACAACTCTTCAGCGTTATGTCTCAGTTGCGTCCAGCGTTGGGTTGTCGCCTCGTAAATTGCGCTCGTATTAATTTGGGCCAAGTATTCGCTCAGCCAGTTAAATCTCATTTCATTGCGTTGACGTTGTTTTTTTGGCGTTTCTTTTGGCCAAAATGTTTGCCAAAAATGGACATATGAGAACAAAATAAATTGGTACCTAAAAAGCTTGGCGTCCTAAAGAATGAATTTCACTAGGTTAAACACTAAAAAACGACGGTGTAATTTAATACTTGAAACGGCTTTAATCCATCCGCACACCTCTTAAATTATAAACTCAACATTCTCTGCGTGTTTTCGTTTTTCTACGGGGACCCTTTCCCCTACTCTGATGTGTACACACCGGCAGAACAGTGCTCGAAAACATCAATTTGCAGCTGCATTAAACCAACGGGTTATTTGCAATTTATAGAACGTCTAAGGGCATATTTAAGTTTAATATGAGATTTCAGATTAAACAATTAATCAGTATTGTTAATATTAAAACATATTTTAAGCACGGTGGGCCCTAAAAATAAACAGCTGATTTTGACGTTTGCTCCCACGCTGAACAAGCATCACTCACATATTGCCAGTGTGTGCATAGCGACAACGGAATAACAGAGTTTCCAAGACCGAGACGAGGTTTTTGAATAAAATTTGTAGTATTATTGAACCAATTTGTATGAAATTAGTTATAATTTATTGTTTTAGTACGTTATTTAACATCTAACTGCTGCAAAAGGTCCGCTGGAAAGAAGCGCACGCATCACCCCAAACGCGAAGAGAGCAAACTACCTGCCGCAGTTTTCATTTTCTTGCTTGGTAATTAAAACGGCAGCGTTTGGGGCCAAAAGCGTGTGGCGGTGCATGCGGCGCGCTGTAATTAGGTTAAAAACAGAAGCAGCGGCATAACTGCAACGACAACGTTTGTACGTGTGTGTGCGCGTGTTCTTGTGACCTGAAGAATTTGTTAATCAAATCCGACGATTTACATGGCACAGCAAATGGACTCGGCAGTTTTTGAGCGACGGCTTCGGCCTGTTTACGGTGAGTCCGAGGTCTACTGCCGGCCGTAATCTAAATGAACTCCCCTCAATTAAAGATAATCTGGAGGTTGGGAACAATCGCAAGGCGCTGCAAGAGTCAGAAAAGCTGCTAAAGAAGCATCCAACTCTATTGTGCGCACGTGCGCTGAAAGGCCTGTCGCTGCTTCGTTTGGGTCGCTATGAGGAGAGCCACACTTGGTTGGAGGCAGTAGCCGAAGAGAAACCCGTGGACGACTCAACGCTGCAGGTGCTCTCGTTCTGCTACCGGGAAACGGAACAATGTACGTACTAACTAACACACTTGTGCCTGTCACACGGGGGCTCTTCATATTTTGTGTATACTTGTATACTTTGTGGTGTATTTTTGGCACTCGCACACGACCGGGTAATTAAAACTGCCGCCCAAGTCACTTTCAGATAATGATTGCCCATGTGCGTATGCCAAGAAAAACAGCTGCTTTTGTCTATATATAGCCAATTATATATGTATATACTATATATATTTCTTTGTGCTTACCTGTTTCACCGGCAGTGGACAAAATTGTTGAACTATATAAGCATGCAGTCAAACAGAATCCTGGCAATGAGGAGATGCTCGCTCATTTATTTATCTCTCATGTGCGAGTGGAGGACTACAAAGCACAACAAGCGGTGGCCCTTCAGCTCTACAAAGTGCAACCCAAAAATGCCTATTACTTCTGGTCCGTCATAAGCGTCGTATTTCAAGGCATACGTGGCCCGGAGTCCATGATCCCGGAGAAGCGTAAATTGTACTTGGCGTTGGCTCAGCGTATGGTTGACAAGCACATAAAGGAGGGAAAGCTGGAGACGGAACAGGAAGCCTTTCTCTATCTGCACATATTGAAGCTGCAAAACAAATACGAGGAGGCCTGGGAGTTTCTAAATGGCGAACTTTGTGCTAAACTATATCCTGGCGCCCCTGTAAGCATGAAGTTTGAACTTCTCAAGGAGCTAGGCAAATGGCAGGAGCTAAATACGCTACTCATGCAGCTACTCGAAGCAGAGTGAGTTTATTTTATTGATTATTTTTTGAACTGGTTATCTATTGTCCTTCCATAATGGCAGTCACGATCGTTGGGATTACTACAAGGAATACTTGCAAAGCTGTTTTGAATTGTTAAAAGTGCCACCATCACCGGATTCCACAGAGCCCGAGTTTACACTCGTCTCCTGCCATGAGTTTCTTTTGCGAATCATTGAGTCTTCGGAGCGCAAAAAACGAGGTCCTTATCTGGCCCGTTTAGAATTGCTTCAGCGCATGCGTGTTGCTCAGCTGCAGCCGCAGCAATTGGTGGGCGATTTCGATGAGTTAATCATTGAATACTTTCGTTTATTTGGCGACAAATCCTGTTGTACACACGACATTGCGCTCTTCCTACCCTCCATTAGCATAGAGCAACGTCAGGCGCTGGCCAGCAAATTGCTCTTGGAGAGCGGCATTAGCTCGACTTCGCTGCCACAAAGTGTGAGTAGAAATCGACAGTTTTAGTCATCAATTAAAAATTCTAATTTCCAAAAAGTGCTTTTCGAACTTTAGCTCAGATCCTTAGCTCTGAAGTCTATTTAATTAATCGTTGCAATTTTTCTTGATTATTTGCAGAAGGAGCAAATGCAGAAACATATTTGTGCGCTACAGATTTCACGCATTTGTGGTTCACATATTGAACTGCCAGTGGATCATCTGTTGGCCTTTTACACCGCTCTGAAACTACACTATGAGCACGGATTGAGTACATTTGGCAAAAATCTTTTGGCAACGGAAATGGGACCATCAGATGCCTATGCATTATTGGCAGCAAATGTTATGTACGATATTACGTTACGGGAAATGAAATCGGATCATCTGTTTGAGGCCCTCTGTCTTTTACAATATGTTTTGCGGAATAGCACGAGCAATTTCCATGTGAAACTGCTGAGTCTCAAGATATATCACATGTTTGGCTGTTTACTGGGCGCTCAGGAAATGTATGACTATTTGGATATTAAGCAAATACAGCTGGATTCCATGGGCTATGTTCATTGTAATTTGTTGCCCTTGTCCGGTCGCTTTGCGGGCGCTCGAAGTTGCTACGATGCTACGCTTAAGTTCTTTACGAATAGCTACAAGGAACGCCTGGAATATATAGCACTAACCTATCGTTTTTACACATTCTCCAAAATGGAGGAGTTTATGGACTTCAAGGAACGTCTAACCAATAGTTTGCAATATGTTGCATGCTCGGTAGAAACGCAACTATGCGATCTGGTCACCTGCTATGGCAATCTCCAACAGAACCTGTCGGCCTATGTGGCCATGAGCATTGAGCCGGCAGATGATCGCATTTCGTGGCATGAATTGAGCGACAATCGGGATTTGGATGCCGTTGTACGTTTCGATCCATTGCATTTGGTCGATGGAACGGCGGAACGCAAAGAATCCTTTGATCAGGAGGTTGAGGTGCTGCAAGTACGTTCCCTTATGTTGCGTCTATTCGCCTCCTTCGTGGACTTGTATCATCCCACGGCAAGTGCCAAGTTTGCTGCTCCAAATGCAAAGGAGCAGGCACAGGACAGACCACACAAAACAGAGACCGCAACACTGGAATTGTTACGCGAATCATGGATCGGTCTCTTTCAACGCCTGCGTCTCATGAACTATAAGCCGCTCTCAAATCGGTTTCTAGTCAATTTGTTACCCACACGCCTGCATTTGCTGCTAGAGGTACCCTATGAAAAGTTCTTCGATGATTTGGCGCAATTGGTGTTAGACTTCTATACGGGCGATCCCCAATTGACGTTGCATTGTAAAGCCGTCAGCGACAATGTGTTAGGGCTCAAAGATCTATGCGTGCAAACCATCGATGCAAGCAATGAGGCGTCCGATGGCCTTTGGCTGCGACGAAATCAACAACAAAAGGTTGCTGCTTGTTTGGAGGTGCGTATTAATTGAAATAATTCATAACTTATCTAACAAAATATCTATAAAATTAGCCACGTTGTTTCCCCCAACCGAGTTAATTTTTAAGCTCAACATATCTAATAATCTTCTTTACATTTTCAGATACTCTCACTCTATGCCTTCTTGCTTTCCGTTCTTAATGACAAGATTCAAAGCAGTGGAAAGACAAAAATTAAAAAGAAGCCAAATGCGGATAATAAAACGTGCGATACGCCGCAGCCAATCAGCGAGAAAGAGCGCAGTCAAATGTTATTGGAACTTATGCGTCAATTGAAACGTAAGCTGGAGGACTGTGATGCTGCCATACGTGAGTACTTCGTCTAATACTTAAAGGCACCAAAATTGATTAATTATTTAAATTATTCAGGCAACTGGAAAGCGCCCGCACTACCTCGTGACCTCAACTCGTTTATGGCAGACATGTCGCTGAAGCCGGAAGTGGAGGCAACGCTTATTGGGGATGTCTCGTCCACATTTAAGGAATCACATGAACTTCTTGTTACCGAGCTGAGAAATCTGTTAAAAGACAAAATACGTATGGTTGGAAAGTAGAAGGGAGATAGGGAAGGAAAAGTCATTGCTATCTTTGCTGTGCAAAGTATGCGTCCAATTGTTTTTAAACTCACTGCTGAAGCTTTTAAATTATATCCCATAGTTACAGACCCGAAAAAACAACAAACAAAAAAATCAATCTTTTCATACTATTTACGTAGCGTGCATAATGCATAAAGTTTTGTTATTTAATTTTTTAAAAATGTCTACGATTCTTACCCAATATGATGTTCAAATTTCTAGCTCTATATACTACACAAATTTTCAATTCTACAATTCAGCATTTTTTCTACAACAATGAAGAGTTGTAAAATTGTGAAGAGCTTTGACAAAAGCGCAATAAACGTTGAAATGAATTGTGTTTGGTTTTTATTTACAATAAACTACAAAATAAATATAAAATCAATTGGTCCTACACATCTACAACCGAAGCCGCCATTAAAAAAACACTAGTTATTTAAAAAAAAAAATTTTAATTTATTTAGTTGGGTTGGTTCTACCGATGTATGTATATAATCAAATCAAAAACACTGATTTGTTTTTTGAATGGATTGATTTTTTTTAGCTTAATTGCACAACAAAAAGCACATTTAATATTGCAACCGATCTTTTAATAAAAGAAAGCCGCTTATTGGCTATCTGGCAGTAGCGCCAGCTTTGAGGGCCTGTATATAGCCTGCTGTTCTTGGATCATTGTGATGGAGCTGGGTCTGCAAATGGGCCAGAAGGTTGTGTGTTCGGGCGAAACGCTTATCACACAGTTGACATCTACGGAATAGGATAAGGATTTGGGTGTTTTACTTGGCAGTCGGATGATTTCAATTTGATGCTTACCCGTGCGGCTTTTCACCTGTGTGCGTCTTATAGTGAACCTTTAGAACACTGGCGTAGGTGAAGGTTTTCCCACAAGTCTTGCAGGCATAAGGACGCTCGTTGCGATGGATGCGCTCGTGTTTTACCTGCGCCGTGCGATCTGTAAAACTGCGCTGACAATACTGACAGCTATATGGACGAGCTCCAGTATGATGGCGTATGTGGCGCATCAACTGATAGTTTACATGAAAACTTGTATGGCAAATTCTGGAACGGAGGGTGAAAAATGTTAAATTTCTCTGACAATAATAGAGGTAGCAAATAATGTATTTACTCGCATTCGTAGGGGCGTTCGTTGCGATGTCGTCGCATATGGGCGTCTAAAGTGCTCTTCCGTGGGTAGATATTGCCGCATATATTACAGATGTGCTTGCCCGAGGATGCCTCAGTTGCCTTAGTTGCTTCAGTCATTGCGACGATTGTTTCAGACGGTGGTAGAGGGGGAGGAGGTGGTGCAGCTTCAGTAGTTGCCACCTCTACCACTAGATCATCATTCGACCAGAGATCTTCCTCCAGCACCTCAAGCTGTTCATAATGAATGTCCGTATCCGGCTCCTGTTCCTGCTCTTGTTTTGGTTTCAGCAGATCCTTTGTAACGGGTATAGACAATAGCCCATTAGTGTAGGCGAGGTGGTGGGTGTAAGATTGAGAGCGCACGCTAGTATGTTCCGGCTCGGGCTCGTCGGCTAATGGGTGGTGTTCGATGACTCTCATATCTTACGGCCTTTTAATTAGCTTATTATTTAAAAACAAAGCGTGCTATCGGAAAAGCCATAAAAATCGGTAAGTTGACACAAATAGGACAAAAAGAAGAAAGCTGGGTTTGCAGATCACAGGACACAAGTGGACACACCTTTGGTATTCCTCTGTTGACGTTGAGGAAGTATTGGCCCACCCATCCTTGGTCATTCATATCCTAAAACAATTATGCGAATGACCCCTTCAAACCTCTACATGCTGCGGCTAGCGGAAATCATAAGACCGGAAAATTTAAGCAATCATTATAATGTTTTTATTAAAAACTAAATTCATTGAACACCTTGTCTTTTCGAAGTTCCATATATAACCTAACTTTATCCAACGGCAAGTTAAAACTAGTTTTCAAGTCTTTCGCCTTAACCTTTACGACGAAATCAAGCCTATGAACATTTCTAATTAAATATCTAGTAGTAAAAAAATATATATATAAGTAGGTATAGCAAAGTGAGTAGAGCAATTGGCGTGGCTGGAAGAAATGGTTATTTATATTCAAATATTAAAGAAATTAGGGTAAGAAAATATAAACAAATATTTGAATTATATAAATTCATGCATTTTCCCCTTTTGGGATGTTTATGTGCGTGCCGATAATAGGAGAATTATGAAACAAAAGCCAAGACTTGGCATAAAGGCGTTAAGTTTGTTTTTATGCCTAGCAGGCAAGCCTGTGTTCCAATTGAACAGCTGATCACTTCCGTACGCATGCACGCAAGTAAGTATGAAAAATAAAAATTAAAACGGCTGTACTTACAGTTTTTGTCCAACGTCGAAAGATCTTTCGGGGGGGACGCGCTGTGTGGGCTCACCGCTGCTTGCATGCATAATTTTTTTGTACTAAAGTTTATGTTCGATATTTACTGGGTGGGCTTTAACGTGTTTTTTTTTAAACAAACCAGAAAAAAAATTGTCGCCATGCACATACACATTTGTAGCTAACGAATTTTGCTTTGTGTATTATTTTTTTTTGTTTTCACTTAGGTATATTCTTTCCCACTTCATCACGCCATGCCGAGTTGCTTTGCTCGCGTGGTTACACATATGTACATTTAAATTTGGATTTAACACAGGGGAAAAAAAAATTAAAGAATAATAAGCGCACTAGAGAAGTTCATTTTTGCGCTGGACACATATATAAATATATATGTGGATATATATATAATGTTGCCTTTAAAGGTTGGGGTAGGCTAATTTATGCCTTTTTCTTTCCCACGGGCCTCCAACCAACACAACGGGGCTTTGCCAATTGCCCAGGCACAGGTTTCACCGAAGACAACACAAAAAAATCACTCGCACTCCGTTATTAGGCGACGTCCGTCATAGACGATATGACCCACGAAACTGCAGAGACGGTTCTTCTCGCCGTTCCAGTGGCCTGATCGGAAAGCCGATCTTACCTCTGGCACGCCTTCGTCTGGCGTACCCCTCCCTTAGCCTAGTCGCTGCATTAGCATGCGCGCATCAAAGCGACAGGCAAAGGTTAATGCCCTATTGGATTGGACTAATTATTAAGTGCCAATTCTGCACGAAAACAATGTAAATCGAAAAAAATGTGAATTAGAATTTGCATTCCAAATGCGAAGAAACGAGAAAAATAAAATTTACCCGATGTCCGGAAGTGGCACCATGCAGAAAAATCCTTTCGACAATAGAATCCTCCAATTTAGTTTTCGCCAATTTATATACTTTTTTATTCGCTGTTAATACTATCGTTGCTGTATTAGGTTGTAGGTTATAGGTACAAATATAATCTGTATAACCAAAAAGTTGATAACCCCGTTAGCGTGGATAATGCACAACCTTCCTCTAGGCGATCTCGAAGTAAAAAGAAAGATCCGGATGCTAAGGCCAAGCAAGAAAACTTTCTTTTACGGAAATTGCTTCACACCTCTTTTGACAATTTCCTTTCGACAGGTCAAGGTTAAAGAAAGGGCCACTGACAACTCGCAAATATTGCCACTGTGCAACAATGAAAATAAACAATAGGTGGCCGATAGCCGTGCGGTTGCAGAAAATTAACTCCCTTTAAAATAAGTAAAAACAATTGAGAAAATTTGTTTATCTTGTTAACTAAGGCCAAAAAAAAAATGTGATCGTAGGCAGTTGACGCTAAAACATAACGCTAATTCAAATCGTAACTACACAAGCAGTGTGTGTACATAAGCAGCCGAAGCACTGCTTGACCAAGGTAGTGCAATAAAAAAAAAATACGATATTCACTGCCAGCGTCGTTACACCTTGAAGACAAATTCGCGAAGGAAGACATCGGAACGCCTGCAAATCTGACGAAATTTGTGGGCCAGTGTTAAAAATGCCCTGCACTTTACGCAGATTTGTGTTGGCAGAATTGTGCAAGCATCGCCGATCTTTATGCCGCTACAGTTTTCGATTTTCTCGCATAATGAAATGCTTAATTCATTGCTACCGTCTCGCTCATATATGGACACCATTTTTGATTCACTGTCCTGCAAACAAATCCGGCAAACCGAGAACAAGTCCACCATTATTTCATTTGTTTCCATTGTCCTTGAAGAACTTCAGCTCTAAGAACAATAACAATTGAAGGCGCATTTAAAATAAATGGTGTGTGTTACTGGCAGGGTGACCAGTTAGTGGTATTCCTTTATAAAAGGAACAATGTATATTTTTAGCTTCGTTTAAATCCCTAATAAAATGTAGATGGTATCCAGTTCCTTTGTCATATTGAATTTTTACGTACAATATGGTCTCAATCTGTTTTTTAAATCATTTTATTAAATGAGTAACGTAAATTAATTTTTCACGAAGAAACAACTAAATTGCCGTATTGCATTTATAATAAATGAGCCCGTTTGTGTAATGAAACAATCAATCAAATTTAAAAATGCGTTTTTTATTTATATTAAGTTATTTTAGATATTAATTGTTTACTAACAAATGTTAAATATATTATTCAAATAAATACATACAAATATAGCATACTTATACATATGTATGGAAGTGCATGTCATATACCATATACCGAAAAACCTGCAGCGTGGTCACTCCAATTCATTTTGCTATTCGCAATGAAACGCATTCATAACGTAGCTGTACTTCAGCTTCAGCTGTCTTTTGTTGCCTCTCAATAGCGCCAATATTTGAGGCGAGTTTAACTTAGGATAAGGTGGATTTTAACATGGACTTGGAGCTTGTTTGTAGAATTTGTCTGGAGCAGCCAAAAAATGAATCGCTAATGGCCACAAATGACGAGTTTTATACACAGATAGAACTCTGCACGGGACTGCGACTGCAAGTAACAACAAAGCTTACAAACCCATTTACAATTTGTTTATATAAATTGTTTTAATGCCTTACAGTTGATGCACGCGTCCAAAACAGCCACCAAAATATGCACCAGTTGTGCTTTGCTTTTGCGAGCGGCGCTCAAGTTGCGCACAATTTGCGAACAGGCTGACAAGCGCCTAAGATCAGAATTTCTGCTGCTGGAGAAGGAGCCTGATCTAAAGGAGGTGGTGGAAGAGGCAAGTAGTGCCTTTGGCGAAAATGAGGAGGACGATGATGAGGATATTTGCGCAAGCGAAATCCACTTGGATTATCTGAACACGGATGATGAAGGATCCCAGGAACAACTGACCATAAGCATAAAAAGCGATAGCGATACAAACGATGCAGAAACAGCAGCAGAAGGAAAATTAAATGGATTAAAAAATAACAAATCGCCTGTTAAGGATACAACAAACAAATACTTAAAGATCAAACGAATTTCAATCGCTGTTCAAAATGCTGCCTTAGAAGCCAAATCTCCAGACCTGCTGGGCGTCTCATACGTTTGCAAATTCTGCAGCAATGTCTACTCAGATAAAGTTAAGTTGACGGCACACATGAAGCTGCACAGCGAATACAAGCCACATGAATGCGAGTAAGTTTCTCAATATAAATCTATTGTTTCTAAATAAATTCTTTATTACTTTGTCATTTCAGAATCTGTCAAAAAAGATTTCGGCAGACACCACAATTGGCACGTCACATGAACTCGCACACTGGCCAGCGACCCTATAAATGCAAGTTCTGTAGCTCTCGTTTCGCCGATCCCTCAACACATAAAAAACATGAACGGTGCGTTAAAATAAAGTATCAAATATTGTACTTTTATAATTTTTGCTTATCCACAGCATTCACACAAACGAACGACCGTATAAATGTGAGTATTGCAGCAAGTCCTTTGCCTATTCGAATGTCCTAAATGTGCATCTAATGGTGCACACGGGTGAGCGTCCCTTCAGCTGTCAATTCTGCGATCGTCGCTTTTCACAACTGCACCATAAAAAAGCACACGAGCGCGTTCACGAACGTAACGCAAAGGGTTTATAGTCTAAGGAGAGAACTAATAAAATATTTAAGTCCTGAATTGTGCAAAAATGTAATGCGTAATAACATGAAGCTTATCATAAATTTGTTTAAAAAATTCTCTGTAAAGTTGACGGTCAGACAGTTTAATAATTTGCACACGGACTTGTCCTATTTAAATTGTCAAGCTCTAAAGATGCTTATTTTGTCAGGAAACTCTAGTATTGTTATAAATAAATCATTGATTATAGTATCGCTCTATAAATATGACCAAATTATTTGCAAATAATTTGTCAGTCTGACCAAAGCTTAAGCGTTTCTATTGCAGGTAAATGTTGATGCCGATTTGATGAGGTCTTAATTGATTTTTCTTGCACTGTAAAGCTAATCGAGGCTTCGATGCCTTCTTTCTTTTATAACTAAACTTTCAAGAAATTGATGCAGTTGTAAATAGTGCCTTAAGTTTCTGCTTCTCAATATATCTGCTTCTGTCGTCTTCGGAGATCTTTTTTTTATAACAAACGTTCACTTCTTTAACCCAACTTTTAGGGAGAAGTATAAAAAAAATCCACAATTTAAAAACTGAAACGTGTATCTCATTAAATGTATTTCTTTAATTCTAAATACAAATATTTGACTGTTCAGGTTATAGAAATATTATTCAACAGATTGTTGGTAATTGATAATATTGAAAAAAAGAAACAGTTATAGAAATGTACAATTTTTTTGCAGAACTTGATTAAAACGAAATTGCTGTGGATATATTCCCAGTTCCCATATAAATCATGCTCAGTTGAATGTGCCCATCGCGTTGATTTCTAATGAGGAATTAGGCGTGCAAAAGAATCTCACAATATCCTAATAAATAAATCTGTTAGCCTATATATTAAATCTGTTAATGAATGTTAAAAGCCGATGGACTAAGTAATAATGGTTTCAGGTGTTTCATCTACATATTCCTCATCCTCTAAAACGTCCATTGTGCTCACTTGCTTCCACGGACGCTTTTCATGCGTCACGCGATGTAAACGCATTTTGTAAGCCTTCACAAATCCCTTGCCGCAAATATCGCACCTGCAATCGATTTGATATTGAAATAACTGGTAAGGAGAGTAGGTAAAAGGGTAACTTACACATGCGGTTTTTCGCCTGTGTGTATCATTTTGTGGAACTTCAAATTGTCCGAATAGGTAAAAGTCTTATGGCAAACATCGCACTCATATGGACGCTCCTTTGTGTGAATGCTGTGAGTTTAAAAATTCGATTGTAACTATAAATGGTCTATGGATGAATGAAATGAAAAAAACTTACCGATGATGTTTAGTTTTTGTGGAGCGATCGGCAAAGGCAGCGGGACAGAAATTACACTTATATGGCCGATTACCCGTATGCGTGTTCATGTGACGCACGAGTTGCTGATTTTGAACAAAACCACGTCCGCAAATCCTATAATGGGAGGAAATAATTTATATGTTAAAAGAAACCTTTAACGAAATGAAATTTAAAAGGGATACATATCTTAAATAAAACGTTATTTATGCCTTATAGAATTCAGAATTGTAGTCTAAAATGTATTTTTAAAACCAAACACATCACTACTTATCTATATTTGCGGTATATCCTGTATTGTGAATCGAAAACTATTACCTCCATAGAACTTAAAAACAATAAATCACAATTACCCCTTATAGAGCTAACTTACTCGCATTCGTGGGGCTTAACGCCGCTGTGAAATTTCATGTGCTCCGTAAGTCTGGCTTGTGTGGGATATATATTGCCACAGACATCACAGATATAATTTAAATTCTTGTCGCGTGGTCTGCGTCCTTTTTTCTTGGCTTCTGTCAGCGTTACCATCGTTACTTTGGATTTGCGGGCCTGTTGCGTTGTATTGTTTGCCCTCACATTCGGCTTATATTCCTCATCGTCTGACGAGAGGACATCGGCCTCGTCATCGGTTACGCTAATGTGGGCATTTTGCCTGGTGCGAAGTTCGTATGCTGTGTTAAGCGCGGATGCTTCTGTGGAGAGTACTTCCAATTGTTCGTATTCTGTGCAATTCTCAGCATCTTCGTCAATGGCATCAACCGAAGCATTGCTATAAATCACATTCTCGACAGCCTCGGCCTCTTCGACAAACTCATCGAAGAGTATTTCTTCACCATGCCCCACATCTTTGGCAATCAAATAGCGCACACCCTCATCCACTTCCAACTGTTCCACCAGCTGCTGGTGTTGTTGTTGTTCCTTAAGCTCTTCCTCCTCGATTTTCACCTTCATTTCGTCGCAGTCCCACACAATGGTTTCTGCGGGAAAATCATCAACAGTCAGCTCATCGCTGATATGTGCCTGATCCGTATCGATCTTCATCATGTCCATGAGATGCTGATGTGATCGTTGGACGGTCATTCGAAACTTGTAAGCAAGGCGCAGGCAACGCACGCACTTGCTGCACATTTTGTCCGGAAGCTTGTCGTCTTCACTGATCTGCAATTCAAAATAAAAATAATGTTATGCGATTCCCATCGTCCAAAGCATGAAAAAGTTTGTTTTTTACGGGTATGTCGCCACAAATGTGAAGCATTTGATCGAGGCGCGTTGCGGCACTGGCACTAAAGATATCCTGCAGCTCCCCATCGCCATCGTTCGGGTTCTTCAAGCACACACGGCACACCACCCACTTCTCATCACGGTCAGTTGTCATGATACTTTTACGTTAACGTTTCTTGTTAAAATTGGGATTCCAACAGCTGAAGTCAGAGCGTTGTTTTTTTATTGCCATTCACATCAGCTCGTACGATTTGTTTAATAATGTGGCATCGCGAAAAATACCAAATAAAAAAATCATTCACAGTGAACATGTGAAATAATATCATTTTAAATAATAATAATAATTAAACTTTAAAATCAATTAAGATTAAAATCTTATTAATTTTTTATAACTTTGTTATGGATAACAATATTTTTTGGCTCTGAAGCCTGCATTTTAACAAGGTATTGAGATGATTTTTTGATTGTTTTTAGTACATTTAATAAAGCGCTTAGTAATTTCATTTTTTATAAATGTATCTATTGTAAATTGGCATCAAATTATTTGTCAGCTTATCAATTTAATCATGGATAGTCTGCAAGAAAACTAGTTTTATTTGTAATGAATAGAAACGGTAGGGCTTCGATAACGGCTGGGAAAAAATACCAACCAAAATACCAATACTTGCTTGTGGACATGCGCATGGTAACCTTGCCTCATGCATAGAATAAGCGTAGAAACCATTCACAGTGAACTGCATCTTGTTTTACCAGCATTTCACTTGGCGTCTAATTCTTTTATTTTACGAAATAATTACAAAAATTACAACCAATCGTTATAAAATTATCGCGCATACACAAATACAAAATGAAAGACATTGCAACAACACAAACAGTGGCGACATCTGTCACGCAAAAGTGGATTGTGTGCAGAGTGTGTTTGCAACAGCCAAAGGAAACAATGGCCGTCATATTTCATGATGATGCCTCCAAAGATTTGACTAACATGATACTGGAGTGTGGTGGTGTGCCCGTAAGAAAATTGATTTAAATTGTGTACTGGGTAATTGTAATTAATTGATTTTTGTTTTGGCAGATCAAGAAATTTGACCATTATCCAGATAAAATCTGTGACAAATGTTTGAAAAGTTTGCACATTGCCTTTAAATTCCGACGTAATTGTCAGCGCTCCTACAAGCATTTAAGTCAATTTATAGCACCTGTGGTAGTGGAACAACACATCGTTGAGGATGAGGGGGTGGAAGAGTTGCAGGCAAAATCACTGGCAGAACTGGAGGCGCAAGAATTGCCCGATGAGATTGAACATGAAATCTTGGTTGATCTGGAAAAGGAGCTCATAGTACACGTGAAGAGCGAGGAGGGTGATGGTGAGGAAACGGGAGTTACCGAAGAGCTGTACGGCGTTTATGAATCGTACGAGAATGAAGGCGAAGAGGAAGTGGTAATCGAACAAATGCAAGTTTATGACGAAAATGATATGACCGAGCTATCAGGTCTCTCTGGCGACATCGAATACCTAGATCAGGTGGATCAGGATCAACTGACAGAAAGTGCACACGAGGATGAACTCGAATCAAAAGATGACAAGAAGGAAAGCTACTCCGACGAGGAGTTCATACCCGTCAGCGCACGTGCCTCAAATAAACGGGGACTCACAACACGTGCCGCTGCCGCCAAACATCGCAAGAATGCGGCCGCCAAGGCCAAGAGCGCGCAGACCGGCAAAATAAAACGTACCACGGTGAGCACCAATGTCATCCTAAATCCCGATGAGAGCATCACTATTGGCGACACAATTGTCCGTAAAATGCCGGGCATTAAGACACGCGGCGGTCGCAAAATCTTTGTCGGCAACAGTAGTGATAAGAAGGAGTACAAGTATATATGCGATATATGTGGCAACATGTACCCATCACAAAGTCGTCTCACAGAGCACATCAAAGTGCATTCCGGCGTAAAGCCCCACGAGTGCGAGTATGTCCATTCATTCCAATCAAACTTTGCTATTGCTAATTCATTTCTCCGCTTTATCGCAGGATCTGTGGTCATGCCTTTGCACAGGCGCAGCAGCTGGCGCGACACATGAACACCCACACAGGTAATCGCCCGTACAAATGCAACTATTGCCCGGCCGCCTTTGCGGATCTTTCCACGCGCAATAAACATCATCGGTAAGTCATGAATTTAGACATTTGTTGTACAACAAATTGATAAGATATATCGCTATTCATTTTATGCGCGTTGTTGATAATATTGAACATTTTAATATCATAAAAATGGAAAACTTTTATAAAGAAAACGCAAATTCGCCATTAAAAATAATTTAACTTGTGTTAAATCTCTACTTTTCTGAGTAAAATGAAGATAAATGAAACCGTAAAAGTATTAATATTGATGAACTTAAACTCGAAATTAACAACTTGATACAAGAATTGAAGGAAATTCGGCAGAGAAAAGTTTCAATAGAACAGATTTCAAATGAAATGTCTTTTGAGAAAAGTCAACTAGATTAGATTTTATTACAAATTACATTTATTACAATATATTTTCAATGTCTCTAAAGAAAAGTTCAAATGTCCAGAATTTCTGTGCTTCATAAAATTCGTTCTCGGCGGTTCTGTAAATGCTTTTTAATGGTCTATAATTATCAAATTAGGTATTTTTAATACTCTTAATCATAAAATTATTAGACTTTAGCAACTAAGCGGTGAGAACATTTAAGTCAAACACTCTAGATATTGATTTTTCAGACTTAATTAAATCACATTTGTTATTATTTTGCAAAATCATTTACAGCATACACACCAATGAGCGACCCTATGAGTGCGATGTCTGTCATAAGACATTTACCTATACCAACACGTTGAAGTTTCACAAGATGATTCACACTGGCGAGAAACCACATGTGTAAGTTCTATATTTGTATATAAAATGGTCGATATCAGATATAATCTAGAACTCACGATATTAAAAATGTACGAATCAAGTTTAGTTTTTATTCCGTCCCACCAATTACTTTATTCTAGCCTGAAAATGATGCAAGGAATATTAGATATTTGGAACACCGCTTAGATCGGCATTATTTTGGGGCTAATTTCTTTCTGTCTTCGTAACACTTCATATTTTTTAATGTTTTTTATCATTTCGTCGACAGTTGCGACATTTGCGGCAAAGGCTTTCCACAGGCTTACAAATTGCGCAATCATCGGATTACGCACGAGCGACGTGGTGTGCGTGAGGCACTGGACAATTCGTATATTCATTGCGAAATGATTTCCTCACCTATGGAGACGATGAAAATGGAGATTGATAAAGTGGAGGGCATGTTTTAAGATTTCCAATAAAATACCTAATTGTAAGAAAATTGACAGACGAACAGACGGACAGACGCACACACATACAGATATAAATATATTCAAACACACACACACATACGACACAACCAGACAGACTTACAAGAGAAAATTTGAAATAAATAACTTACGTGTACGCTCTTTAAATTATTCTTAGCCTAAATGTAGCCACTTCAATAACAGAATCAGAGATTGGTGCTGTCTACAAAGCAGCTAAAGAAATCATTGGAGTAGCCAATTCTACAAGTAGACAATTCTTTATACAAATCAAGATAATAGAAGGAACGCTTCAAATTCAACAAATCTCAACGGAAGAATAAGTTGCCGATATGATGATGAAGCCACTGCCGAGATAACGCCTTCAAGTACTTTGCAGCAAATGAGACTTTCCACATATATTTTTAAATTTAAGATCAATGTCTCATTCGTTATTCTATTTTCATCAATATTTAAAGACACGAAATTGTTAGCCCATTAAAGTGCAAGATCTTTCAAAACCAAAATGTGTAGATTTTTAATGCCCTGTCCCCACGGGGTATGAAACTCGTCTCTTCTATGTCACATTGTTCACATATTAATCAAAGACAGCGAAAAGGACGTTCATTTTTGTCTTCTAGTCGAAATAGTTTTGATAGAAATGACCGAGTGTTTGAATAACCACCGTCTTCTGACTAAAATGTAATGTAATGACGAATAAAAGTGCAATGAAACTAATTGTTTCAATGAATGTCTCATAGAATATATATATTATAATAATATCGTTGGAAATCAAGTTATTATGGTTAGGAAAATCGATATACATATTTCTTGATACCGTTAATATATTTTGCGACACATTGTTTGTAAGAAATGCTATTTATGTATCTTCGTCTAATACATTTCTTTTTTCTTGTCATTGGAGGATAACCAACAAACTATCAAATAAGGTTTTTAACGCGCTTTCCTCAAAAGTAAAGTCATGGACATTTGTCGAAATGCGTAGGGCGACTCTGTCTAAAACTTCAATCAGTAGCTTTCCCCTAATTCCTACAATTTTCTTCGATTTGCGACATTTTAAACTCAGAAGATTTACGTGACAATTTTTAGGTGATATTGTGTTTCTACACAATATTTCCAATTCTTTTGCAACACAGTTTTGTTTTCTTCATTTGTATTACAATCTGGTGAAATATAAGTATAAGGCATAGAAGGTTGTGTTTTGATGCCTTTCTATAAAATTTTATAAATAGTACATTACCTTTTGACTTCGCAGTCTTTAAAAAATTTCAAATTTGAAAAATAAACGTTTTTTAATATGCAAATCAAAGGATTTGTTTTTATTTAACCGATCCACATGCTTCACATGCAATCAACTTCACACTGATACACTCAAAATTAGAAAATTGATCGAAGTACTAAACGCAAAATTCTGATTGCCGTTATACGTAATCTCTACTTTCCTTTCATATCCCTATAGAGCACATTTTGTATATAAAAAACTGCGTAATATATTTGTGCAATTTTTGTTTCTGCTTGGAAATACAGTTTACGAAAATGTTCAATTTCTTGTACCCAAGCAGGTACAATGGCTGGGAATGGGTTAAGTCTCAAAATATCGATAGCTTGCAAAACTTCCCATCTTCAGTTCGATTTAGCGTCCATCACTTATAAGTTGTAAACTGCACATTAATAAAGATACACATATGTACTTAAATAACTTTAACACTAAGTCCTAGTCTAATTAATTATGCGGAAATAAATTAAGTATAGCTGCACAAATGGCCTTCGCATCCGTTTGTTCGGGATACATTTGGAGCACTGCATGCACTTGGTGCTGGGGAAAGAGGCTGCTCAGATGGTAGCGCAACAGTCGTCGCTTCTCCTCGCGCTGCAGTTCTTCATTCAGACGAGAATCGGAGGCGGAGAGGTGACCAAAATTATGGGCTGGCGAGAGCGAAGCGAGCGATGGCGATTGATTGGAGGCGGATGAAGCATCTGTGGCTGGTGCCGAGGGTGTGCGTGTCAAGTGTTGATGAGAATGCAGGTGCTGCTGTTGTTGGTGCTGTTGTGGAGAATAGTTATTCGATGGCGGCACTGGCTGCGGTGGCATTAAGGGAGCGCTATATGTTGGTCCGAGTAGACGGTAAGATGCTGCTGGCGCCTGTTGTCGGTGCACCTTCTTATGCCTATTCTCCATGGGTTCACAGTCCAATTGACTACTAAAGGCTTGGCAAAGCTGTTGCTCAATCGTATTCGATTTGGTGCGTCCCAATGGCTCGCGATTGCTCAATACCGATAGCTTGGCATTGTTGTTGTTGCTGCCACTTCCACTACTACTGCTGTTGTTGTTGTTTGTGGCAGGTGGCGGTAGACCGCCATTCAGATGATGTCCATTACTGTGCAATGGAGCGCTATGTGAAGCCTGCAGAGGCACGCGTCCCGCCATTGACTGATGACGAAACTTGCATTTCTGGCCATAAGTACATTTTTTGCCATACGGACACAATTGCTGGGCATCGGCCATTTTTTGTTGCGTCTGTGCGCGCAAGAACATATCCAGCGTGGGTCCGGAACGTCCCAAGGGATCATCTGGCGGCATGAAACGATCATTTACAAACGAGTACATCAGCAAACGTTCCTGCACCACACGCCTATACTCGCTATTCTCCAGCAACAGATCCCGATAGTTGTCATTGGACACCACTATGCCATCCGTTTCGGCCGCCAGCTTCAGAATATAGCGATCATCGTAACAGGCGACACGCTTGCCACCATCCAAATGGCGGGAGGGTGTAAAGACCAGCACGCGTTCACGTTCCAGCTCATAGAGTAGCTCCTGTTCCGTAATATTATTGTTGGCCATGTTGGTGCGCGCCGACTCCTTGCGCCAATTCGGTACGAAAGCGGTGATGTGGCGATGTCCGCGCTGACGAAACCAATCCACACAGATGCGAATGCCACGGCAGGAGAAGAGCGTATTATTCCCATGGGCCAAGGCCACATTGCTGCCATCGATGACTATGTGACGTAGCTGCTGGGCGGGTGAAGTGCTGTTTCCACTACTGTTGTTGTTTGTGTTGCTGTTGTGATTTGTTGTTGCTGGCGCTGCTGGTCGGGGCGCATCCGCGGTCAGTTTGATGAGTTCGGCCAGTAGCTCATTCTGCTTTGCCTGCGCTCCAAGGCGTGTGAGGGCCGTGTGTATAGATTGCTCGCTGTAGCCCAACTTTTGTGCAAATTCCAGATTTTTTCGTTCATCATCTGTAACTGTTGGTCCGGTTGTTGTTGCCTGCCTCGCCGTCTTGCAACTTTCCTCATCGTCAGCGTCATCATCGCTGCTTTCCAACTTGTTGTTGTTGTTAATCTGGGGCTGCTGCTTTTGTTGTTGCTGCTGTTTTTGTTGTTGTTCTTGCACTTCAGCACAATTCATTTTAATGCGCATTTAATTTACACGTTTTGTTGCACACTGCCGCTTTAGCCAAATATGCGTTTCAATTATTTAAGCGTGTATATTTTCTGGCGTTTACTTGTTGGCCGTTTTTCGCTTTAAATTTCATGTATTTAGCAAGAAGTGTCTATTTACATTTGTGCGCGACTTCCGTGTCGTGTGTTGTTGTTGTTTTTGTTGTTCGTATAAGCGACGGCAGTTGGAGCGATAGCGATAGACCTGTTATCGAGAAATCTCGAATGCCCCAATGTGACCACACAAGTTGCTATAAAATATTTGAAATGAATTTAAATTGTATTTCAAATAGCTTTCCTCTCAATTAATTCATTACTAATTATATAATAAAACAATTTAACAGTTTATTGTAAAATTCTAGGAATGTTTTGCGATAGTATTGATTGATCGTCGGCAATACTGTTGAAACAAGTTACACTATTTAAAATTTAACATTTAAAATGTGTGTTGATTTCTGAATTTTTCTTCGAAAGCATTTATGCAATGACATTTTCAATTCTTTTAAACTAATGTGTTGTAATTAAATCTGTACACTTTTCAAAGTTTAAAGTTTAGTAGCAAGGGTTTAAGATTTACTTTTTAAAGGCCAGACAAAAAAATCTTTTTGTTAAATTTCAAGTAAATAATGGTAATTTCAAGTAATAATCCAGTTTAAGTTCGCCACATTTTATTTTTAAAGGATCCAACAATAATTATTGCATAACAAGCTAGCTAGTAATAAAGAAAACAATTATTTAACATGCACAAACCATTTTTATTGTGTTATACATCATCTATACATACTATACATTCATATATAGTTATATTAAATATAACAATTTACTACAATTTTATGTTGAATTCAATATAAATAACATTTAAAGATGGCTGCTTATAACATTTATAGATTTCCGTTTGTTAAAATAAAGTAAATATTTTTCAATTGGATTACATTTAGTTACTTTAGTTATCTCGTGGTATCGTCGTTGGTCCCTCTTTTTCACGAAGAAAAGAGCGCGTTGCACATTATCCTACTATATATATATAAAGTATATAAGTAGTATATGTAAGTATTTATAAGTAGTATGTGTATAAGTAGAGTACATTTAACTGTTCATTGGGTGTATAACTGGTCACATCTATTCGCATTATAGACATATTTAAACGCTATTGTGAATTTCAATTTATTACTCATAAATGCATACAGAGTACATGCACACATAGACATACATATATTGTGCATTTTAGCACGTACTCCAGCGACAATAAATTAATTTCGCTTTCCTTTTTTTTGTCTTTCCTTCGTCAGCTGATGCGGCAATTCAAGTTACAACGCAACACAAAAATAAATACAAAAAAAAACCTATAAAAATGGACGTAAAGTACAGTTGTATGCGATGCCGCAAGGAGCATAAACTATGTGTATACGTGTGTATTTTTGATTTTGTGAGTGTTTGTGTCTGTGTGCAGGTTTCATTAAAAATTGCACGACTCATTCATTTTGAACGCAACTTTACTAAATTTCCGCCAAAGGATGTACGCCGCGTGCTCAGAATAGTGCAGCATGCTTTTCTCTTTCTCTTACATACTTTATCATCCACTGTGCTTCACTATGTACTGTTATTATAGCTGTCATAAATTTTATTGCTGCTTTTTGTGCGCGTGTTTGGATTTTTATGTATGGATTTCCCTTTTATAAACGTGTAATTAGTAAAGTTCTTTGTTTTTTTGGGCTTTTATGAGTTCCGAACGTCCGCCCGCCCGATAGTGGGTTATCTACAAATATACAAGTACAACTCGTATATGACGTCTTTAAAAATTTAACATTATGTAGTAAAAAGTGGATGTGACTTGCAAATGCACAGAGCTGCACAAAGTAGTGAAAGAAACCCATAATCTTGGACATAAAAAAGCTTAAGAATTTCACGAGCAAAGTTCATTGGCATCGAGGGCAGAAGGCAGAGGGCGATAGTTTTTGTTTTGAACCCATAAATTAGTTTTATAAATGCCTTTTATGTGGGGCAGCCAAATGAATAAATATTCAAAAACTGGCCAACAAAATGCGGCATAATTTTGTCAACAACCAAGTTGACGAAAATTCAATAAACTTTTAAATTATACCATCGAAATCATACTGCCAAAATATAAATCTATATTACATTTATTTTGAAAAAAAAGACAGCTTTTTAAGAAAACAAAAATGAAAAGGAACACGAAGGAACAAATAATTGAAATGTATTTATAAGTATACCTACTATCCTTACAAAAATTAAATAAACCTGATTGTTGTCAAACAGAATGTGCATTCTAAGTAATCCAATGTTAAATCGTTCTAAAAATAAACAAATAAAAAACAATTAACAATTTTATATAAACAAATAATAAAATGAAACGGATTGGCACACTCTTACTTTTTATAGTTAAAAATGTGTGTGCTATAAATCCGTTTACTTGCTATACAGTGTGTTAAAGAGAAAGATTAATGATAGAAAAAATGGCCTTTTCTGTTCATTCATTGCCCCCACATAAACTTTTTAGATCCAGTGCTGATAGGCATCTGCAGTTGATGAGCTCATATGATGGCTTGACAATTTGTCAACCGATAATTTTTGGCCACAACGAACGAACTTTGCCATTTTTCATTTGGTTAATTTTTAAAAGCATATATGTCCTCAATATCTATTGAATACATTTTCTTTCTAAGTCTGTGTGTATGTGTGGGCTTGTAAGAGAGTGGGTGTATGCTTGTTTGTTGTCTTCTTATAGGCATCAACACTGTTTATGGTCCTAAAAACACATTTCACGTTGAATCGACACGACTGGCTTGTTAAGCTGATTAACATTAAGCATACCCCATGTGTGTTTGCTTTTCTACACGAGCTGTGCTGTGTGTGTGTGTATGGGTGACAGCGTCTTGTAAGAATTTTGGCCCAAAGATTTATGTTCTGTTGCTAGACAGCTAGATTTTAAGCCTTGAAAAAGTAAGCTTAAATTTGCGCCGAAATGTAGGCAACACATTTCAACACGATGTGGGTGTTCGTCCACTTTGGTTTAAGCTCAAACATAAAAGTGCTTCATGTGCCTTAATTGAATGACAACTCGTTTTGGTCATTGCCTTCGAGTTCATTTGTGGGTTTTGATTTTGCTGAATCCCATCATCTGGGGTTTTCCTTTCGGATACGCTTTGGTTTCGCTTTCGGTTAAGGTTTTGTTATCGCACAATTGCTATGCGATTCTCTCTTCCTTTTTTTTATAGTTTTTCTTTACGATTGTGCTGCTCGCTTTGTTCCCATGAGTGGGGTGGCAAAGTTTCCGCTACTGTTTCTATTATTATAGCCTCAAACCCCACACAAATAGAAAAAGCAGAAAACTCACAAACCTACATACAAAATAGTGGAAAAGCCAGCGCAGAGCTTGCTTTCTGGCTTGGTTTGTTCGTTTGGTTAAATGCTCCCACGCTGTCAATATTCGAAATTGGCATCTATATACGAGCAGTCAACACAGAACGACATTGCACACACTTGCATGCTAGCTTTTTTTTCTTTCTGAAAGTTCCCTTCCCTTTCACTTCCCTTTGGCTGTTGTTTTTGTTGCAGTCGTTGGGGTAGGAGAAGACCCGAAATAGAGCTGCGCCGCACAATTGAATGAGACATTGCTTTTATGGTATTATTATGCTGACTGGCCATTGAATGAATATTTATGGCTCTTCATGATAGGTATTAATTTTAAAATAGATGTGTTCGTACATACTAGTGCACTGTTGTCTACCTTTGAATTGAGTGCTTAATTAATTGAATTGTGTATTCAATGAGTGCTCCATTAAAGCAATAACGCAATTAGGAATAACGTAAGCAAGTTATATTTACGTTGAATAAACACATCCCGGAAGGAAATGTTGTATCACTAAGTCCACCTGGACGTGCGTCCCAATTGAAGTTGAATGTTGAAGGCCATTTATTTGCACTGGCTAATTTACATCCTCCCTCATTTCTTAGTCTGACTTATAAAAGAGACCAAGCTTTGAAGCTACGAACGCAAGCAATAGCACAATTAAAAAACCCCAAAGGATGTGCCAGGCAGCAAATTTGAATTTTTACTCTATGGCTGTTAGTTTGGTGGTAGAAATCTTCTGCGTGTATATATTTGAGCTAATTGCCTGAAAATGCTCACAAAATGGTAGAAAGTTTACGAAAATTTATCTACAATACAAAAAATGTTGTGCAAAATTACAAAAGCTGATGTGATTTGCTGATTGCTGTGATTTACTCTGAATATTCCAAGAGGGGTATTAAATTCAACCGACGACTTTTTAATTTGGGTAAAAAAATAAACTCCAAAAAACTTTGCGCTTTTATAAAACAAAAATTAATTAATTCTTAAGCTGAAGCTTTGGATTCAAGAAAAAAATATCCCTGTTCATCGAAATTATATTAAAGAGCAATATCGAAGGAATTTCTGTTGTTGAACAGGAAAAAAAAACAAGTTTTCATTTTAAAAGCTTACCAATGGTTACAAATTTGTTCAATGCTATTTGCGATAACTTATATATTGTTATTGAGTTGGAAACAATTTTATAAGAGCACAAGAATTTCTGGAGTAACCAGAACTTTTCGTTGATTTGAAGCCAAATTTAAATCTATAAAATTGCTCACGCATTTGTTTTGGAGGCCACACCCAATTGTTTGATTAGGGCTAAGTTTACTTTAGGAATAGTTTACTTGGGAATAATTTGTGGATCAATGATAGTGGTTAAAACTGTATAAATGAACAAAACTTCTGTTTGGAAAAGCTTTTAGCTGGCGAAAATAATTGGAGAATCTACAAAAATCAGCCATTAAATTTCCACGTCCTTAATAAAAATGTACGCGTACAATTTACACCATGATTATCAGAGATTGAGTCGATTGTTATTGACTTGCTAGAATTGGCTCTAAATGTGATCTATTTATTTGACTATACGAGTATGTGATCAAACGAATTGCGAGTAAGGCATGGCTTAAATATTGCTTTCCTTTAATATTAAGTTTGTTTTAATATTTATGGGTTTTATGTAGAATGATCCAGAATGAAATACGCTCGTAAAACGTGTTGATGTGTATTGTTTTTGAAAGTGAGTCGCAGACTAAATCGATGGTGGTCCTTGTATAAAAACACCAGAAGCTAAATTAAGTATAAAGTTTTAAATTGTTTTTTCTCCAGCGAGTAAAAAATTCTTCTGTACTTCTGATTCATGCATTTCCGACTTAAATTTTCCAAAACTTGTTGTACTTCAGACCTCTGCATGCAATATTAAATGAAATTTTTGAAAAAGCTAACAGAAATTCGTTTTTATGGCGAAACTCTGCTGCGAACAAATAATTGGGAAACTCATATATCTTTGTAAGCCCAACCTTTGTAGATTATTCGCATGCCTTTCATCCATTTCGAGTACACAGTGCACATTGCGCTCTAAACAAGTCATGTTCTGCTTTAGTTTTTCCCCTCTATTTTACTTTTTTGTATCCTTTTGCTCGCTACTTTTCTGCTGGCACTTGAAATTGCATGGGAAAGAATGAAAAACGTTTAAACAGAACAAAAATTGCATGTACGAGTATGTAGGTATAGTTGTGTCTGTGTTGAGTGGATGTGTGTTTCTGTGTGTGTGTGTGTGTGTGTGTGTGTGTGTGTGTGTGTGCGTGCGTGATGCCTGCATGGCAGATACACAGATAGTGGCAAAACAAGCCACTGATGTTGGCCAACGAGCTAGCCAGTCAGCCAGTGAGCTAAAACTAAATCGTCAACGTCAACAATGTTGATGGAGCGCTGCCGCTTGACCTTGCCAGCCAATGTGCGACTGCGGATGTCGGTTTGAGTTTGGGTGGGAAAAGGTTTGCGGTTGGGGTCGGGTATAGGCGAGTGTCAGGCGTTGTGACACGCATTTTTTGTTGTCGTTCATGTTGTTGTTGACTTAGCATTTCGTTTAAAACTAGAGTGTGTGCGGGCGTTTATTTATTTAAAGACTTGAGCCTCTTTAGGCGTTGATATAATACTCGCGCTTCTTGTGACATTTCTCATAGGCAATGTAGCAAAGGGCAATGGTGATTAACACCAGTATTGTGATGCCCATGATGATGCTAACCAGAATAATCTCATCGTTGATGCTTTTATACGAGTGACCTGTAAAGATAATTGAAGGAGAAAAATAATTAGAAAGACTTCGATATTAATATATAATATATAAACAATGAAAATATTCTAGAATTTTATATGTTGTTGTTTTTTAAGTTTTCAAATCAATTTAAAATACAATTAAACTCATTTGCAATATCTAACAAGTTGGAGAAAAGTCTATATATGTATAATCCTGTTTATTATGTGTGTTTTTTATTTGAAATGCCTGACAAGAGGCTATGTATAATTCTGCTAAATTAATGTTTTTATATTGCAGACTGAAAATTTATTTAAAACAAAATTCTGTAGGCCGTGGAACTCCAAATTAACAGGCTCACCAGCCGGTACAACGACTGGCCAGGCACCTCTCTGATGGTCGCTCCATTATCCATCTCAAAAGACACAACCAGCCGAATTGATGAGTTAAGCTATGTTTTTATGTTTTTCTTTACGTATGTTAAGGAAAAAGTAAATGTAATTCACGCGCCCATTTGTTGTGTCACGTGCACATATCTGATAGCAAATTGATAAATGTAAGTCAATTAGTCTTGTTGTTGTTTGGCTGTGCTTTTGCGCAGCATACTTTTAGGCACTCATTTGTTAGGCCCCCCGACATTTGGCAGACAGGTGGCCATTGTCATGTTGTGTACAAGTGTATGTGTGTGTGTGTGTTTATGCATGTGTCACATCCGTTTTTTGTCAATAAGTAATTCTGTTTGGTATTGTGATTTTTTATATTTTTGTTCACATTGTTTTGGGTTGCTGCCAAGGCTCATGCATATTCAGACAACAATATACCGCATAAATCCTGATGAATGCATTGTTATAAATAAAAATGATGGCCACATACATATCGACCATATACATAACCAATTTCGCAGATACACCGCCACATATATATATGTATGTGTGCGTACGCTTCATAGCAATAAACGTATTTGTACAGACAAAGAGCAGTAGGAGGAAAGCAGTAAAGCGAATAAAAATAAAATGAAAATCGGATTTGCAATTCGCCTTTATTACAACAGCTGTTTCAACAGCTCGAACATTACCGTTGCCAAAACATTTCAGCGTATATTTTTCTTCCTTAAGTGCATATTAATGTATGTAATTATGAGTGTTTATACAAACATACGCATACATACATACTCGAATACTTATACTTATATTTTTGCTTGTCAGTTGCTTTGGTAATAGTGGGGCTAAAGCTTTCTTTCCAAGCATTTGGCTTGTAATGTTTGTTCTGCGTAATTTAACACATAATCAATAGAACTGCCTTAAGGACAAATTAAAATCTTGTTTACAGCAGCAGTCAAAGCACACACTCACGCTCGCATATGTACACATACACAGGCACATATTTGCCGAGTCACTCGAACATTTTCTTGTGCGCTGATTGGAAGGCTTTAATTACAACGCAAACTTTAGCCCCGCTTGACGCAAAATGTGTGTATGTGTGTGTTGACATAAATCTTGGGGAAATGGTGTGGTTAATGCGTTTGATTATAGTGGCGCCATGAAGTGTTTTAATGAGCTACAATATTGGGCGCCCCAAAATGTAAGCAATACTTTTTTACAAGCTGTCAACCGGTCTGAAAGACTTAATAAATTAATATGAATTTGTATTTATTACATGCTCCAAATTTCAGGGTAATTTATGGTAAGCTCCTTGGTTGGGAGAAGAACTGAAATCTGTCAAGCTATTCAAAAGTCTGAAATAAATTATTCACTTAAGTCGTTGTAGTTAAATTAATTTATTCACGAATTAAGTGTGGAGACTTTTAATTGCTTGTAGCTGGAAAGCTTAACAAACTTCAAGCATCTTTAAGCAAAAATAAGAATCAAATCAATCGCCTTTATTGTTTAACAATATAACATGTTTAATTAAAAAAAAATTGTATAATTATTATACATACATACATATATAGGTAATATTAAAGTAAAATAAATTTAGAATATTAACTGCTTTTTTATTTCAGTTTTTATTGATCATTACTCTTCTTATTGCCGTTTCGAAGAAGATTTTTTTATATATAGCATTTGGAAATGTTTTCAAAAAATATAGCAAAAAACCGCAGTTGTTTTCTTTTAAATTCTTTCCAGCAGAGCTATATCAATGCAATTTCATTTGAAAAACGGTTTAAGTTTCTTTAATGACCATAAAATAAACTACAACCTTGCTTTAAATGCAAATATATAACTAATAACCATTTATTCTCTTCTTTGGTTATTAAAGTCGGGTGTAATATAAAATAAAATAAATGGCATTGGATATAAAAATAATTGGCATTAAGAGATGTCTCTTCCCAAACAAGGCTATCCATCATACTGCTTTTAAAAATCATAGCTTCAATATAAAATGAAATGAAATGAATTTTTATTTCTAGATGTTCTTCCTATTCATTATCAATATTGGTAAGTTTTACAAAATTTTGTAATTTAAACAATTTGTAACCCAAATGTGCAGTTTGTTTCTCCGACAACTAGAAACTAGAAAACGCTTTGCAAATAGCGAACTCTGTAGTGCCCTCTTAATGAAAAGTAAATAGTATCTGTTTTTAATGTCCGCCTGCTGTCAACATTAGCATAAATTTACAAATTCGTGCCCAAAACGCATTATGTTTCGCATTTTGTAATTTAACAATTTCACTTTGCCACTTAAGTGTGAATTTCAATTGTCGCTTTCTGTCTACGAATATTGCCTGGCACTCAAAACTTAACCAACCAACTGGATGCTTTGATGTCAAGTTGGGGTGCAATATATATATACATACATACAGCAGGATATTATGGAAACGCTTTGCATTGCCTAGCAACATGTCCAATTAACAAATGCTTGTATAAAAATCAAATTGAAGCCACTTAAACTTTAGGCCAAACAGCTGCCTCTCCTATTTCCCTATCTGCCAGCAGAAACTTTTGAATAGTACTATGTATGGCAATTCTTTTATTTTTCTTTGCGAAAATATCAAATGCGCAATAAAAGTTTTCAAGTGGGGCTCCCTCGGCTATGTAAGCAATAATGGTTCATAGAAAATTTGTAGCCGGACATGCACACGAAATAATTCATAAGGCATTTGGACAAACGTAAAAACTTGAGATGGGCCACTGCTGTAGGGATAACGAAGCATAGGCGGCGCAGTAGCATATGCAAATGGAAATAAAAGCGAGTGGAGAAATTGAAATCCAAATGAAAACTGGCATGCCCCAACATAATCGTGAATTATAAATATAGACCGATTATATGGGCCTGACAACGGCCCAGTGGCGTGCTCCTCTCTGTTCCTTAATGTGTATTTGTTGGTGTGCGTGGGTTGAGATTTGTATTAAATTTCGTTTATTGTTTTCCAAGAATACACACATAAAATGTCACACAGTCAATAAAGTATGCTACATTTTTCATGTCGCCCTCGGGCCAGACAAAAGGCGCGGAATTTTCTTTATTTGCTCGCATGTCTCTACAGGAGTTACTTTTGTTTTGCCAAAAAAACAAAAAAAAAAAAACTGCGTTAGCTTTTTTTTTACTTCTGTTGCTGTTCAATATCAGCTCTAATAAACCATTTGCATTTATTTGCTTTGACTGGCGACTGGTGCTTTGGCATTTACTTTCCAGTCATTTGGCAAACGCTTTTGTGGCCAATGGCTTGTGCGGCTAGCAAACATTAAGGAATTCCATTTAAAGTTCCTGGCATACTCCGATTGAAGCTATGTGGTGTGTGTGTTTTGCGCTCCATATGCATGGGGAATTAAATTGTTCTTGAATGTCACTCATGCTGTATAGCAGCCTTAATTTTAATTTCGCTCTCCATGAAGAGAGGGGAAGGTGGGATTATTGGGAAGGAAGTCAATATAGGAAGGGTCTGCCATTTGGTGTTTGTTGCAGCGATTGCGACAGGAAATTGTAAAACAACTTCAAAGCTTTGTAGCCAGAGGGAGGGCTTAAAAATGACAGCAAATAGAAAAGCATATCAAAGATGCTAAAAATAAGCCAAACAGCATCATAAAACATGAAATGATGTTATAAAAAAGAAAGAAACCAGGGATTGTAATCATTATAAGTGTTATTATATATAAATAAATGTTGTCCTTATGCTCTATGAAAAAGGCAGGAATAATTACAACTTGAAGTTTATTTTTGCTGACCCTTTCACCCTTTGGGTACAGGGTATAATCAAACTTAAAGAATAAACATTACAATGTAGGTTTTATTTGTTTGCCCAAAAAAAACTCATAAATAATCTTTAAATTGTGAGAGAATGAATAAAAATTAAAATTTTTAAATCATAGTGTAAATGCATCGATAATCCTAAAAAAAGACATGGGATATTTCTCAAAGTGAATGATTTTTCCATTTGAAGCTTTTATAGGCAGAAAGAGCAAGCGGAAGGACCATTATTGAATACTTTAGAGTTACATTTTATTTAAATTTTGAAACCAAATCAATCAATTTGTTAAGCTTCGTACTATTGACAGTTAGTTTTTTATTTACTGCTTATTTGTATTTAAAAGCAAGTAGGTGTTGAATTTGTTTAGAGTCATTGCCAAATTTGTGATTGAATATTATTATTAGAAATATTTGGGAAAAGTTGGTTCTCAAAAATACATTTACTAACCGTGACAATTTGCAGCAGAACTAAAAGCCCTCTACAGCCAAAATGGAGGATGAGTACGATTGATTGGGCATCAAAGAAAAGTTCATATCCGATAATCTAAATTTTTCCTATTTAACAGAAAGCTTTCGGTTGGCAAAAGCCTTGGCCAGTGTTGCGGAAATCATTGGAAAGGCAAGGCGGCCGTTATTATACCAATATTGTTGTTACCCCTTCTAATACATGGATACAGGGCAAACTCACAGGTGCGTGTGTAATTTTAGTAAATAGTGGTAACGAATTAAAACTTTTTGCTTGGTAGGAATTCAAATGCATGTATCTAGTGGGAAATATGGCAATTTTTTGGATAACTGAATGCATACCACTATATATGACATCGATACTTCCAGTTGTTTTTCTACCAATTTTCGGAATTTTGGTAAGACTGCAACGAATACTAAAATCGAAAAAAAAACCAATTGAAAGAACACTGTCCCACAGGATTCAAATACCACTTGTAGTCTATACTTTACGGATACACTAGTTATGTTTTTAGGAGGCCTTTTTATAGCACTGGCCATTGAATATAGTAATCTGCATCAACGCATCGCACTGGGAACTATTATGGTTGTCGGTTGTAGTCCGCGGCGGTAAGTCGACATATAGAAGTTATTGTGTGAGTCCCAAAATCTGATAAACTATTATGATAGCTTACATTGCGGGTTGATCACGGTAACGTGCTTTATATCATTGTGGATATCCAATTCTGCGGCCACAGCCATGATGTGTCCCATTGTAAAGGCGGTACTTAACGAAATGGAGGCCGTATGTATCGCTCAACTTACAAGTAGCTGTTTTTATTTAACTTTTTGGGGGTATTACAGCAAAATATCTTCGCTGTCTACATGACACAGGAAGAGGAGCCTGTCGAGGAGGGAGAGTAAGTTAATTATTAATAAACATACCGCATACATAAATTGCTTTGCGGTACTATTGCTTGTCTTTATCAGAAAACCGCATCCTTCCAAAATATCAATGGCATTTTACTTTGGCATTGCCTATGCCTCCACAATTGGTGGTTGCGGAACTCTCATTGGCACAGGAACAAACTTAACCTTCAAGGGTCTATATGATTCGTAAGAGTTGTAATTATATCTACGTACTTATCTAGATTCAGTATTTACATTATTTTGCAGCCGCTTTCCCATGTCTAAAGAGGCTGTTGATTTTCCCATATTCATGGCGTACTCGATCCCCTTAATTGTGATAGTTAATACGATCTTATTATATATATCATTACAAGTAACACACATGGGTCTATTTCGTCCGAATAGCAAAATTGGACAGGAAGTAAAACGAGGCACTGATAATAAGGACATTGTAAAAGCTGTTGTACAGGACCGCTATAAGGAGCTGGGCAGCATGACTTGCCATGAGATTCAGGTTATTCATTTGATTTTCTAGATTAATAGACAGGACAAGGTTCGGCCTATAGGTCCTTAATTAATGAATAACATTTTCAGACTTCCTCCGCTAATTGTTCGAATTTGTCACGTTCTAAGATAAAACTTGCTAACTATTTTTTGAAATGATTGTTTCATAGGCTTTCATAATTTATAAGTCTCTATTTCTGATTTAACAGTCCTCTGTATGCTTTATACGGTAATCAAGGGCACAAAAGACTCAAAACACACAGAACAGAATAATTTAACACCTTCGGTTATTTTCAGGTCGCTTTTATGTTCACCTTTATGGTGTTTCTTTTATTCACCCGTAAGCCAGGCTTTATTAAAGGCTGGGGAGATTTACTTAATGCCAAGTAAGTGGATGTGGTCTTGAGTTTATAGCTCTCATGCGACCATTGTTTTTGGTTTTAGACCTATTGGAAGTTCTTGTCCGGTCTGGTTACCCGTCGTTTTGTGCTTTGCGCTGCCCACACAGTACACTTTCTTCAAGTATTGCTGCGGTTCAGGTGAGTTCGAATAAGGCTCCCATTAGTTGATTGGAGGTTTATTATTCGAAGTGTTTGTGTAGCACCATTTCCGGGTCGTACCATGGATGCTCTACTATCTTGGGAATATCTGCATAACAATACACCATTTGGTTTGTGCTTCTTGCTAGGTACGTCCAAAAAATAGTCTGTGTGACTAGAAATTCAATTAGCATTCTCCTTCTTAGGTGGTGGCTTCGCTTTGGCTGAAGGCAGCAAGTTAAGCGGCATGGCTAAAATGTTGGGCGATTCAATGGGATTTGCTGAAAAAATGCCGGATGTTTGTGTACAGGCTTTGACAATTTTCCTTGGACTTTTTTGTACCGCTTTCAGCTCGAATGTGGCCATTTGTAACATACTCATTCCCATATTTTGTGAAATGGTAAGCTGAACAATCTCGACCAGAACATTAAAAAATGATTTCTCTTTTAATTTTTAAAAAGGCACTGAAAATTAAAATGCATCCAATGAACTTGACTCTGCCACCCGCTCTGGCGATCAGCTTGGCCTATCACTTGCCTGTTAGCACCCCACCGAATGCCATAATATCTGGATATGCAGGAATCAAGACAAAGTATTTGGTAAGGGGTTGTATTCAAATCTGAGTTCTTTTTAATTCTGTCCCAATTCTAACTAGGCAATAGCTGGCATCCTACCCACTATTTGGGCTTTTCTACTGGTTTTACTCAATGCCATTTCATGGGCAAAAATAATTTATCCCGGTAGCACTAAATTTCCAGAATGGGCTGAAGGCTTATAAGCCAAAATAAAATCACAGACAATACATTATGTTATTAAATTAATTAAATGAACATTCCAAAAATAAAAAAAAAATTGAAAAAATAATTTATTTATTTTAATTATTAAAGGAAAAATGCAGTATACTTTTATTGTGAACAGTTAACAGTGAAGAAAATGAGAAGCTAAAGTGAAGATGCTAAGGTCGGGTGCCCCGACATTGAAATGCTCTTTACATATGTGTAGTATAACTATGCGTGTTTATGCGTGTTTGTGTGTATTGGTGTATGTGCTTGTAAAGCAGCAACTACAACAACAGCTGCGGGTAGTACGGGTAATGAAAAAACTTTGTATTTTTGAATTACCCTCCCTCCCACCTCATCCTGCAGTTCCTAAAATTTCGAACTTAAGTTTAGCAATTACCTCCAATTACTGATAACGTGTCCGTGTGCCAAGTTTCATTGTGATAGGTCGATTTAATAGGAAGTTATAGCCATAAATGCACAGCTGTTGTTGTTGCTGCTTTGGTTCATCATTGTACTGCATACATATTCACACACAGACACGAATAGACACGCATAGACATGCATACACTCTTTACATGAGCTCTCCATTTGTTTGAACTCCCAAAGCAGTCGAAAGTACCTTCTTCGTTTAGGCTCGATTATTGTCATTTGTGTCAAAATGTTGCGTGGTTGTGAAGCGATATGCGTCTTGTTTTTTGGCGCATTGGTCACAAAGAAGAACCTAACGCATTTTCCGGAAATGGTCTTTAAAAAAATAAATTGGGTTGAGAAACACCTGGTCTTAAAAAACTTATAGGTGCTTTTACATTCTAATCATTCACATCTTTTCAAGTGTCAAAGTTTAACCTAAAAAAGTTGAAAGTGGCCTCAAAAAATTGAGGCAAGCATAATGGAAGAACCAGAGTACGGTATTCGTTAGTATATCAAATAAATATCTATATTTTTTCTTGTTATCAGGAAACTGTCATTCGGCAAAAGTCTTGGACATTGCTGTATCCATCATTGGGAAGGCAAAGCATCGATTTTGATACCATTAGCATTAGCACCCCTGTTAATATATGCCTATAGGATAGATTCAGCGGTACGTTTGTAAGATGTATTAATAATGAGCTATTACATTGACAGCCTTATGCTTGACAGGCATACAAATGCTTGTTCTTGGTCGTAGTTATGGCAGTTTTTTGGATAACTGAGTGCATACCACTATATATGACAGCATTGCTTCCCATTGTTTTTCTCCCATTTTTCGGCATTCTGGTAAGAAAGGACTAAACCACAATCTATAGCATACAATTAATCATATTGCTGTTGTGCTACAGGATTCTGATACCACTTGTGGTCTCTATTTTTCGGATACACTGGTTATGTTCCTAGGCGGTCTATTCTTAGCACTGGCCATAGAATATAGCAATCTGCATCAACGCATAGCGCTGGGAACTATTTTGATTGTCGGTTGTAGTCCGCGCCGGTAAGTCGTCATAGCTTTATAATAATGTCAAACAGATCGAATAACATAATGTTATAGTTTGCATTTAGGATTAATTTTGGTTTCTGCTTTTATATCAATGTGGATATCCAATTCTGCGGCCACAGCCATGATGTGTCCCATTGTAAAGGCGGTACTTAACGAAATGGAGACAGTATGTATCGCTTTACTTAGCTTTGATGTTGTTATTGATTTTTTCGGGGGTATTACAGCAAGAAATCTTCGAGGTCTACATGACACAGGAGGAGGAGCCTGTCGAGGAGGGCGAGTGAGTATTAAAGAAATGAATTGAAATCTTGAAAAACGCAGAATTATTATAAAACAATATTATTCAGTATTTATAATAGGTATACTATATAGTGTAAGAATTTTTTGCCTAATCCAAAACTAACAGAGCATTGACAATGCTCGAAACGAAAATATTAAAAATCAAGTACACTTGTATTTAAAAACAATAATCTGATTTAATCTGTATCTCTAACAATAGCGTACGCAGATTTTTCCAAAGGGGGGCAAAAAAGAAAATTAAATTTTGATTAAATAATGCGCGATGTGTTAAAATAATAGTTTATTCATATTGTCAATGAAAAACTTCAACAAATCCAACTCAGTACCATTTTAAGGCGAAATAGTGCGCCATAATAATATATGTATGTGTGGTCGGTTTCATGTGGTGAAATTTTTATCTAACATGTGACTCAAGGTTTTTATTTCTTTTTAAAATATAAAAAGAGGGAGGATACGTATGTATTACTTATTTATTGCAGAAATCCACATCCTTCCAAAATGGCAATGGCATTTTACTTTGGCATTGCCTATGCCTCGACAATTGGTGGTTGCGGAACACTCGTTGGCACTGGAACAAATCTCACCTTTAAGGGTCTATATGATACGTAAGATTTATGAATGAGGCGTTTTCGTATAAAGTAATAACTCCTCTTTATTTTATAGTCGCTTCCCGATGTCTACGGAGCATGTTGATTTTCCCATATTCATGGCGTACGCAATTCCATTGGTTGTTGTAGCCAATACGATCTTATTATATATATCATTACAAGTTACACACATGGGACTATTTCGTCCGAATAGCAAAATTGGACAGGAAGTAAAACGAGGCACGGTAAATAAGGCAATTCTGCACGCAGTTGTGAAGGAACGCTATAAGGAGCTGGGCGCAATGACTTGTCATGAGATTCAGGTTTTATGTACTTTTTGAACATATCTTAGGGTTATAGATAGAAGAAGGTATATGGCGTTGAATTCTATAAATACTAACACGAGCGTTAAATTCTGCCGCCTTCAGTTTTTTTTTTTTTTCATATTTTGAATTTTTTAAGATAACAAAATATACATTGATCCAAAACTTTTCCATCCATTTAGCTGACTATCCTGTTTTCGATGATGATTTTTCTTTTATTCACCCGGCAGCCAGGATTCATTAAAGGCTGGGGAGATTTTCTCAATGCTACGTAAGTTGTCATGGCTTTTTTCGTTTGGCTGTACAAATAATTATATATATAACAATTATAATTATATAATTATATTATAATTATAATTATTTGGTTATCAGCTACATAACTAAAACGAAATCTCTAAATACTTTAATTTCGTAAATTCGGATTGTTTAGGATGTAATATTTCATAAAATATTTGTTTGAATTGTATTTCTTGGCAGACAATTTTGGCCTTCCTACAACTTGGATAAAATATCTACATATTATGCTTTCAGATCTGTTGGAAGTTCTTCTCCACTCATGTTACCCCTCATTTTATGCTTTGCACTGCCAACACAGTACACCTTCTTCAGATATTGTTTCGGATCAGGTGAGTGTCCAGAGGGCTTCTTCCAGCAGATAATTTGAGATTACAATTCTTATATAGCGCCATTTCCTGGGCGTGCCATGGATGCTTTGCTATCTTGGGTATTTGTTGATAAGCATACACCGTTTGGTTTGGCCTTTTTACTTGGTAAGTACAAATCAAACCTCAAAGCTCTCATTCATGGGTAGTCTGTTACTAAGATACTTAAATTTTGATGTGAAATTTAATTAATATTGTGTATATTTATTTGACTCTATCTAATAGGTGGAGGCTTTGCTTTGGCTGAAGGCAGCACGGTAAGTGGCATGGCTAAGATGTTGGCCGATGTTATGGGTTTTGCCGAAAACATGCCGGGTCTTGTAATTCAAGGTGTGGCCACTTTTCTAAGTATATTTTGTACGGCTTTCGGCTCGAACGTAGCCGTTTGTAATGTGCTCATTCCCATATTGTCGGAAGTGGTAAGTACGACCAAACGATAATTTACATCTATCCTACTTAGTCCATATATTTTCCCAGTCACTTAAAATTAAAATGCATCCATTAAAGCTGACACTGCCGTCGGCTCTGGCGATGAGTATGGCTTATCATTTGCCTGTCAGCACACCACCAAACGCGATTATATCGGGATATGCGGGCATCAAGACCAAGTATATGGTAATTTTTTCGAATGTTTAATTATTTTTGAATTGCTTCTAATTGTGTTCCAATCGAATTCAGGCGGTAGCCGGAATTCTACCCACCATTTGGGGCTTTGCAATGGTTTTGTTGAATGCCACTACTTGGGGAATAGTTGTTTTTCCGGCTACCAAATCATTTCCAGACTGGGCCAAAGAAGCCCAACACTAATGCGCAATTAATGGTTTTTAGAATGGGTATAATAATTAAATTAAATTAACTAAGCTTCTAATAAATGCGCTAGCTATTATTATTGTAAAGGATTTCCAAATTGAGCAAAATATTTCACAGGACCTATCAGTATTCAGCACTCAATATAACATGCACGCTTAATTTGTGGCCAACACGTAATGCCAATCAAACACTCAAAATGCAATCATCAACAATTTCAATTTGTAAATCAAAGTCAATACTAGACGAACAGAAGTCTAAATATTAATAAAATATGAATCGTTACATTACCAATACATGCTTGCATAATAAATATTTATTTTCAATTATATGGAAAACATGCTGCAAACTTGCCATCCACAGGCACGCACATAAACGTAGCTATTTGCATATATATGTATCGTATGGAATGTGATTTTTATGCCACCCACAAGTCCTTACATAGACACACACACACCCACATATTTATGCAAATATGCCAAGCTTAGAGGGAAGCTTCAAGGATCAGCCTAATACCTCACCCACAAACCACAAAACTTTACTTGGCAGGTGGTCTCTTCATATTTTGTGGCCAAAGAGATCAAAACACATAAATTACGGACAATTTGTGGCAATCAAAAACTATGATAAAGTTTTCTCCTCAGGATACGTCTGCAAATGTAAGTTCTATTTGGCCACAGAAGCGTTGCACATTGTTTAAATGTTGCCGCCTCCGGCATTGTGGGACGTGCATGAGGGCTTAAGCCCTCTTAGGGGCATTTCGGGCCAAAGAAGAAAAACTTTATGCAAACACAGCATAAAGTCGTTATGCATGATGCTGTGAGCAGATATTGGACTAGAATACTGAACTCATATCATGCACGCTGAAAATATGAAATGGCAGTATTTTTTGAAATGCAATAGTTGAGTTATTGAAGAGTTTAAATTATACTAATAGCTATTAAGAACTGTTTCTTGTGAATATAGTTTTTAAATTCTAACTGAAATTTTATTTCCATAAAATGAAGAGACTTTTTTTGCAGGGAATTTATTGTTAATTAACAAATTTGCTTATAAATTTTATTCGAATGCATTAATATCGAATCGTTATATTAAAATACCTTTTATGTATGAGTACGTCTTGTATAATCAGAGGATTATACATGTATGTATAGGTTCTGAGAAACTATTTATCATTTGCGCGTGACTTCAATATAATTCGTAATTTAGATTATTTGTATAGGATAGATAAGACTAGGCACAAATTTGGCCCCAATTGCCGAAGCTGCTGCTGCCGATACCCATGCAAATGATCTCTCAAGTGTGCGATGTTACATAAAAACGTACACAAATACCACACACACACACATACTCCCGCACACCTAGCATGCATACAAAAGACATTTCAATACACAGACACGCGCTTACGCACACGCATACAGAAAAACACATGAATAAGAAACGCACCGAAATAAATGTAATAAAAAGGCAGCAGGGCAGAAACGGAGGCACGCACACATAAAGAGACGCTTTTCAACACTGATTACTGCGAAGTATGCAGGACTTCATAGACGTCAGGACGACAATGAAGACGATGATGATAAGGAAGACGGTTATGGCGACGCCAAGGAAACAAACAAAGCAAATGCCAAATGCTGAAATGGTAGCAGGAAAGGCAGAAAAGAAACAACCGCCGATGGCGAGGGAATAGACAATGGCGTCGCTCGCACGCGTAAACAAACTGTAAAACGAGGGATGCAGAGGAGTTGGGCATTACGGCACAGTGTTTCCCACACAGAGATGAAAAATTCGAAATATGAAAAAGTTATAAATTTACAAAAATGACCCCAAATCGTTTTAGAATCGCTGTGCCTTTCCATACCTTCTTTTGAAAGTTATGCGAGAAATGAAATGAGAAAATAAAGTTTGCTAATAATTTCATTTAGCTAGCGGTTCGAATTTTGGGTTCACCAACTTTGAAATTGTAAAATAAAAAATGTATAAGACGATTTAATAATGCTTTAGACCACGGAATTCGTTTTCTGAGAATCGACTCAATCGACGGTTTTTCGCCAGAGGATACTGTCACTTTTGTTTTAATCTCTGAAGACGTGTTTTAGAAATTAAGTAGGAAACAATTTACGACAGAGTCTCAACCTCTACATTTAGACATATTTTTTGAGAAGTTTATTCCGTAGGAAAGATTTCTTGACTAGAAAGTATTATCAAATTATAAGTTATTGGTTTCCGTTTGTAATCAATAACCATAGATGTTAAGATGCACATTCAGTAATTATTTAATGTTTGACGATTTTACATTCACTGTTAACGAAAAAGATGAAAAAAAGAGCAAGACAGAAGCAAGAAGATTGGAAACATTTGGAATTATTATTAAAAAAATAGTACAAAAGTTTTAAAGTACATAAAAGCCACCAGAGGGGCATCAGCAATGACAAAACAAAAAGCAGAAATTTCTCTCTAGAATCTACTTATATTCTGAAATAGGTGCAAGTTTTTGTGGAGAAGCCATAACCAACTTCGTATAAATCTGTAATCTGTAAAAATCTGTCAGGTCAAAGAATCATAGATATTCTTTTGAAAATTTTTTTGAATTACTTAAATTATATTTCTTTAATAATTTTGATTGTTTCACTAAAGGCACAAACCTAACAAAATGGTGAAAACAAAGAAAGAAGTTTTTAAATACCTTAAAAACGAACCTATGTGTTATAATTTTTTGAAGTTCAAAGGTCTTTTTTCTAAGTAGAGAGCTGGAATTTTTTACCCTGTACCCGTAGGGTAAAAAGGGTATATTAGGTTTGTGCAAAGTATGTAACATGCAGAAGGAAGCATCTCCGACCCCATAAAGTATATATATTCTGAATCAGCATGACGAGAGAAATCGATCTAGACATGTCCGTCCGTCCGTCCGTTTGTCCGTCCGTCTGTCCGTCTGTCCGTCTTGATGAACGCAAGGATCTCAGAAACTATAAGGCATCCAGATTCTCCTATGTCCGAGAAAGGATGAGTTTATTTTATTTTTTGGAATTTCGCCCCCCTTCCCCCGCTACAGAATTTCGTCAATAGCATCCACATTTCAAAATCTACATTAACCAAACTTTGCACACATAATTTATATATAATTATATACTGTTGTTTAAAATTCAATTCTGTCAATTCTAAGAAAAGTTTACGTTTATACACATTTTCGAGTTTATGAAGCAGTGTGCACAGTGCAAAGTACTCACAACAGGCGTTGCGGCAATGCCACCACAAAGCATTCGGCTCTTGTTTTGTACTGCTCTGGACCGTGTCCGGTCCCGGTCCTGTCTGTTGGTCTGTTTATTGTGCATGCCACTTACCACTGTAATAATTGTTGTCTGAATAACCGTATTTGCCGGCCGTTCTGCCACCGCCGGCCATATTGAAATTGAAATGTTCTTATGATGCGTGCCTGCAAATGCTCTTGACTAGGACTCGTTTGCCGCTACTTCCTGTTTCAGTTGTTCGTGTTGTTTTTGTTGTTGTTCCTGTGTTGCTGGTCGCCACTATAAAACACTCAACGTTGATGCGCTCTTGATCTGCTTATGGTTATTGTTATTGTTGTCGGAAGTTGAGCTCTCAAGTGCGCTGTAAAGATGCGAAAAATAAAAAAAAAAATTGTAAAATCAGCATAAATGTTGGGTGTTTGGGCTGACTTGTTAATGACTCTGTCAAAAGCATGTTAAAGCTATAAGGCAAAAAAATATATCATAGTATAAACATACTGACGTATAATCAAGCTAGAGATGGACCTATTATATTGTTATATTCGGTGCATTCAAGAATCCACAAGTGATAGGCAGAGATGGTATTGAAAGATAAGATAAATAACTTACACAAAAGTTGAAGGGAAATAGAATTTGTCCTTTTTTTTGGATTTAAAGTGATTCGTATAAGAACTTTCATACAAAAAATTCAAAATCCATTTGTTTTTAAAGTTTTTAAAGAAAATTAATTACTGTCTTTACTTTATCTAATTAGCTCCTAAGTAAAATTAAGATTCTGGTCTATTTTTTTTTTAAAGTTTGTTAGGTCTATAATGTCTCTGCCCACATATGATTGTGAATCAAGGCATATCAGGCGAAATGGCAAATAACATTCCTCTAACGTAACGGAGGCATTTAAAGACATAGTTATTTTTAAGGTTTACTTTTTTTTGAGTTGAATTTATAGCATATTTAATATTATTTTATAACTCTATTGAGTAATATCATATATTATAATATAATATTAAACATATTATAGAGTAATCTGTATCATCAGCACAATTTGTTGATTTATTAAAATAAAATAAAACTTTAATTCAATTCAATTTTTGTTTTAAAAAACAAAGTATAGAAGTGCTTAAAAATCGTTGTTTTTGTGCAGTGTAATTAAAACACCCATAATAGCACCCATATTTGCTAAAAACTCGAGGAATTTGGAACAGACCTAATTAAAAATTGTTCGATAAAACAATTCTATATTTCTCTGCTCAATGAAAGTGCGACTTAGTTCGTTTTAATTTGTTATGGAATATTAATATACATAATTTATCACGATTCCATCTCACAAATTCACATACACAAACACACAAACACACACACGCACAGACACACTGCTGTAGAAGTGGAGCTGTCATGTTGCGTATACGCCACGTCAGCCTTGTTTTAATTACGCCAGCCATCGTGTAATTATGCATATAATTAATATGCATGTTATATTAACAAAATTGCTGTCACCTAACCGGCAGTCTACACCCTTGAACCCCCCGCGTTTGAGGACGTCAGCGACAGAGTCAGAGATTGCAGCATCCATTGGAGCCGACGCCTTTTGAGAATATCTGTTGGCAACATGTGCCAGTGTGCGTGTGTGTGTGTGTGTGTGTGCCAAATAAGTAATTGCGTTCAATTTGCGTAATTAGTGTAAGTAGCTTTGGTTCCTGCTAATGCTGTTGCCACTCTCATTGTTCGCATCACTTATGCATGAGGTTATGTGAGGCTATGTTTGTGTCAAGTGTCGTACTATGTGTGGCCAATGAAAGGAAAGCAATTCGTGAGCAGCTAGCTGCGGGCCCTTCGAGAATCCCTGCAAGTGCAATGGCAACGTGGGCGAAAAGCTGGCAATGGATAACGAGTGGGGTTGTGGGTGACAAGCTTGAGCATAGCTTGATTTATAAAGCAATTTAGTTATTGCATTTCAGGTAGTTAAGGCTGTTAGGCTGCCAGGATAACAGACAGGCACGCACACAGGCCAGGCTTGAAACGTGGAAGGCAAATGGATCGCGGCAAATGCAATTTGGTAGCATTGTTTCCCGACGCCTGCACAGAAAATGCAAATTCAGTTACACAGGACGTAAACAACTACAAGTTTAATGCGAATAAGGGTGCATTTAACAGGAAATAATTATAAGTGGCACTGGCGTTAAAAACAAAACTAAAGGTTAACGCTAAAAATACCGAACTTTTTTTTTTCTGACATATTCAACGCTTAAGCTAAGAAATAGCAGAACCATAAATTGCTATGGTAACTGCTTTAATAAAATTTGTTGACGTCGTTTAGCCAGTTCTGAGAAAAGAATGGCAAGAAGCCTTGCTATCGTTTACCTAGATTAGCAATTGTAAGTTTGAAGCACCTATAAAAAGCTATTAAATTACTTAAATGGAAATAGGAAACGCTAAATGCTTTTTGGAAGGTGTTAGAAAGGCAAACACTTTCATGACCAAAACACTTCCCAAAAAGTGTACACCAAACTTGCATTAAAGTAATTAAAAGTTGTACAAAAGTGAAGCATTTTTGTTTACAATTTCAAACAAAATTGATTGTATGCGCAAATAAATTGTATAAACTTTTAACTATGTTGGTTTTAGCTGTTTGCCTTGTTGAGCATGGAAACTTGAAAGCGCATGTCGTTTACTATTTAAATCGTAAAATAAAATACAATAATATTTAATATGTGAATTAAACATTAAAATATTTCCGCTTTTTCAACCAAATCCTGGCCAAATATTATTGTGTATTTTTGCCAAAGCACTGAACTAAAGTCTCTCTTATTGTAGCTGTATACCAAGTATTTTCTATAGTTTTTGTTTTGGATTTGCCAGAAAATCTCACATAATCCTAACAATGGCCCAAAACATGCTCACCACCTAATCACGAAAGTTGGGCAAGAACTTAATTGAATTAAACTCTTTGTTTATATACACAATTACGAGACGAAACTTTTGTTGTATGTAGCAAGAGTTAATCGACATAACCCAGAACAAATTTACAACTTTGCGCATTGTAAAGAATTTGTGTAGTTCATAAATATTTAAAATTTGATTGCGCTTTAATGTTGACTTCGTTTTTAATTTTATGCACGTACTTCTGCGCACAAACTCAATTACATGTTCAAAAAACAATTTAACAAGCTGAACGACTGTACTTGATGCATAAAGAACACCGGCCAACAGCTACAACAACAACAATAACAGCTGTAAATAACAAAAGTTTTTGTGCCCCTTTTTTGCTTTTTATTTTGTTTGTAAACTCCTGCACGTTGCATGGGCGTTAGAATATTGAGTGTAGGGCACAACAAGATAATTTTCCCCGTAATCTGCACAGGAAGCGCCGAGTTGCAAACATATGTTGTACATCCGGTAGCATAAGGCTATGTGGTTATTACCAACATGTTCGAAGCCATATTGTGGGACGAGCGATGTCGAATTAGCGAAAAGTTTCATAAGTAAAACATTAAATAAAACGAAATTTTATCAAAGCACAATATCAATGGCACATATTGAACATAAATAGATGAAAATTGATAAATAAATATGTCATTCGGTAGAGGGTGACTGTTTCCCAACGGCCACTAGCCGTAGAACTCTCTAGAGGAATAAATATCGACTATGCAGAACTGAGTAGTATCTTTTGCTTATTTGACATTTCCCAGCAGCAAACTGATCCCATCAGGTCTCACAGACACATGATGAGCTTAAAAGTGGTAGCTGTAGAGATTGATTCTTATCCTCAAGCCCGGCAAACATCCCAAGCAAGACTGTCATACAGGCTTGTAAGATATCTGAGGTGCCGGATGGACTAGCGGACTATCACTTCAACAGTACAGCTTTTCTGAAAAAAGTTCAATCCTTGAAAGGAAAGGAATATCATTTGCATGCAACTGTTTCTGTATTAAATATTAGTTTAAAGCCACTTCTAATTGGATTAGTTTCAAAGTTTTGGGACTAGTGCAATAACTTGTAAGTATACATTCACAAGTTGTGAAGAAGCAACTAAGAAAGTCTCTTTAAATAAATCAAACATTTCTGTTAGCTGTCATCGATAGCATTTCATATTTGGGATGACAAGAAGATTGTATTTAACGATGACATACAATCATAAATTATTAATTGTGAAGTGGGTTTTGATGTAGAGACTCGTTACACTTCAAAATAGCAATAATAAATGAGACTCACGTCCCATGTTCTTAAGTTGTTTCCATAAGAAGATGAATAAATTGAATTCCATAAGAAATCAAATAAATTGAAAGCTAGTAGAGTTCTGAAATGATTGATTGTGAAATGAATAGCAAAACTTATACACTAACAAATTGTAAAATGCATTTAGTTAAAGGTTTTATATTTGTTTGTTGTTATCTATGTAGAAGGAGTGTAAGTGAATTTTGAGTTGAGTTGAAGGATTCGAGCTGTACTTTTAAAATTAGATGTCAATCATTCAACAATCATTTCCAAAGTCCTGAAGTTAACAGAGAAGAGAAATACTTGCATAACATTAATTTCCCTTTAATGAATAAAGTTTTATTAGTTTGACTGATTGATTACTATATTATTTGAGAACTCGGACCTCACTTGTGGTTTTGGTGTACAGGAAATAGAAAAAGTATGAAAACACAATTTTGCTCTTCAATAATTGATTAAAAAAGTTCATCGAAGAATGAGATTGCTTTGCCCAGCATCCATTTATAACCCGAAACTAATTTGTAGTTCCCACTGTACAGGAAATAGGTGCATGTGATGGCTTCTACACATATGTCAGTTGCCAAAAACACTTGTCTGATAGCTTCCCATATCCTTTTGTGCATCTATGTGAGTAAGTGTGTGTGTGTAAATGGCCAAAAATAGCACTAAATTTGTCGCCTCTTTGCATTTATACGAGTATTGTTTTGCTTCCTACACACATGGGGTGTGTGAGTGTGCGTGAAAGTGTGCATGTTTGTGTCAGCAGTCACATTCGGTGCCCCTCAAGGAGAGTTCCCACGAGTGGCTGGAGCAGTAGGAGACAGGGACTGGCACTGGATGCCAGGGATAACGGGCGTGTGCGCACGAGTGCCATTGTCTAAATTATTTTGATGGCGTACATTTGCTTTTGAATTTGCGTGCCCTGTTCGTAGCGCGCGTTCCTGTCTGGGACTGCAGCAGCTTACATGTGGAGGAATTCGGCATATGGCGAAGCCATGCGGCATCA